GAACAGAAACGAGAACTGCAAAAAAAAAAAAAAAAAAAAAAGGGCTCTGACGGCTACACGTTTGCAAGGAGCGAACTCGGCTGCGGAAAGTTCAGGGGTCGTCCGTGCCGAGAAACATCGGTATTCTGACGTCGTACGAGTCTGGTTTGACGTAACTGGCCTGACAAATTCACGTAGGGCGACGGAGGATAATTGAGCCTGTGCGGTCGTTGAGCGTCCGTTGTGCAGGGCCCTGTGCAATCATACAGGCCGAGGCAGTTATTAAATGACGTTTGTTGGCAACTGTTTGCTGGGACGTAATGGCTGTGTTTGTGTGGTATGATGATGCTGTGGTGATTACTATTCCAAAAGGACGTTGGATTGCCGTTTCTGTGAAAGTCGCATAAATTGTAGAGAGAATGAAACGAGTTGTTGTGGTATTGAATTACCGGCATTTTCCAGGATATTGCAGTAAATAAAAGTCAAGATATTTATTTATTTAATAAACATTCTTTCATGAAACAATGTAGACTAAAGTCAGGGACAATTGTTTATTTTTTTTCCAGCGGTTCTAATTTAGTTTGGTTTGATGGAATGAGTACACATTTGGTAAGGGATGCCGTTAATTCTTGTCGTTTTTGCTCTGAACATTCCAGCAAAACTGCCAATTTGTTTTCTTTTTATACTCACAACAGACCAACTGAAATTTTGTAATAGTCATGTACCGGAAACGTGTTGTTTATTTTTAATTAACATCCAGACTGTGCGTTTGTCTCGAAGCCTTGTTTTTTGTGTACGCTTGAACTCTTCACTGTGGACGTCCTTGCTAGAATCCTGCTTTGTCCCTTGTTTGAAGCAAAATGTGAACAGATTCATTCTTGCTCTTATAACCCTCCCTCTCTGGCTGGCAAATTTAAAAAGGCCAGCCCAGCAGTTAAAATAAATCAGGTGACTGTTTTTAACAGATTGAGTGCTCCCTGCCTTCATAAAGCTGGATTGACTGGCTGTGATTGTTATGAAACCTGATGTACATGTAGCTATGCTTTGACTGTAGGTGATTGATAAGCCAGCTGTGCCTACCAGTCAACCTGCTTTTGTCTATTGATGGAATTTGACTGTCACAGGCACTACAAGAAATATGATCTGACTGTTGGTGACTAGCCTGTGTGAAAGGCATGGCAGGGGAACAGGATTGAAATTTTGACTGTCTGTGATTGATCAAACAAAAGGAGGGTTAAGTACACGTTTCTATCCTTGTAGCCAACTCCTTGAGTGACCTTTGACCTCTTCAAGCGCTGCACTTTATATTATGTTTTAAGTCTTAAATTTAGTGACTTTTGAGCTCATACATACATGTTGTACATGTATCTTTACTTGTGTAAAAAATTACATTTCTCAGTATGCCATGTAGACAGGCAAAGCCCTTACATACATTGTACCTATTCCAACTGGATAGAAACGAACATTTTGCTTTGTCCCCAGAGAGGTTGAATACGATACGCGCACTGCTGTTCGAGTCACGCACTTCTGCGAAAAAGGAGAGTATCCGCAGTGTTGCCTCTCGCAAAAGGAGGATTACGACACTACGGCGGGCATTTGCACATTGTCGGAAATTGCAGATCCGTTACGGATGCTGTGGGCTTAGGTAACACGCTGTGGAGCGACATTAAACACAAGGCAGGACTTGGCAACTTTGCGGGGGGATTTTGTATTTCCCTTCTTTTTTTCCCCCCTCCTTTTTTGTGTGTGGCCGTTCTGCTACTTGCGTATATAAGGGATCCCTGTGCTGAAGGCATTAGCAAAGAAGGAGTGGGTTTCTTGTCCACTTTGTCTAATCCTGGTTGCCATAGCGACCACTGGAAAGGATGTTGAAATCATTGGGTGGATGTCTGGGTAAATTTATGTTTAAGGATGAGTGTGTCTGTATTCAGTTGTAATGAAGTAAGGCATTGTGAAAATACAGTCGTCAAATAGACAGTGAACTTATTCTAGAAAGAGAAGTTCACACTATGCCTAACATCAAAATTTTACTCATTTTATTTTATCAATTTTTTTTCCATGGAAAAGCGAGACATTCGGGGAGATGACATAAAAAATTGAGCCAAAATGCAATCTCGACAAAACATCTGAATAACGGACAATTACATGTAATTGACCGGGAGTGACTCTGATATTAGAATCCAACAAATGATTTCTTCCCTAGTTTATTAATACCAGCTTCTAAGCGGATTTGGATTTTAATTCCCCAGGCCTCTCTTCCCAGCCCTTTGTTGTTTGTCCTCCTGGCAAAACTGGAGAAGGAAAAAAAATGTAACCAGTTTAACTTTGGCATTTAGCAGTGGTGGCGCAGAGAAGAAAATCCCGTGTTGTCAATGGTTTTGTTTGACGTCATCATGAACAAGCTCTGGTTTCGGTCCAGAGACTCGTGTATGGATTTTATAGTGACCTCATTCTGCTTGTGGCATTAAAGGCCATGGGTGGACGGCGACTGGATTCCGCTTTCACAAACCACCCCCCCCCCCTTTTTTCTCTCCCCTTTTTGCTTGTTCATGGTTGCCAGGTTGACATTTTAATTTCATTATTCCTCGTTATCGGGCGGGAAGTCGAAGGGTTCCTTTTGTTGTCATTACGGACTCGGAAATAATTGGCCCCGACGCAAACCGCTCACCGGCTACATTTGGGACCCCTGGCAGGCTGCCGTGTTTCAGAAAAGACTTGACTGGCCTTAAAATGGCAAATGTTAAATTCAATTGACACAGGACGTTTTGACATTTAAGAGGGATTTGGAGCTGACGTCTATTTTACGCACGCATACATGTACCTGTATTGATTTCTCTTATTTAGGTTGTCAAAAATAACTGTTTATTGTAAGTGCTATATGATATCTTGAGCTTGCGGAAGAGTGTCAGTGAGTCGTTTATTATTTAAGAAGCTACTTCTGATTTAAGAGGTTGCCTGCACTACTAGGAATATTTAAAATTGGTTAAGGCTCTAAAACAACAATTCCTGGAAATTCTTGGAAAAATAAAACAAAACACCCCCTCCAAAAAAAACCCCCTAAAACCAAAACAAAACAAAACTAAAAGCAAAATTAAAAGTGTGAGCAAAGACAGAATATCAAAATTTTTCTAAATTGATTTAAGTTCGAAAAAATGTAGTAATAAAATAAAACATTATAAAATACAAGTCAAGTTTTAATACAAGTCAGTTGCAATTGTCTACATAAATTGGGAGTAAAATGTTGAAGATATATTTTCTTTACATTTTATTGAGCTATTTAATAAAATCAGTTTTAAATGTGACCTGCCATATCAGAATGAGGAATAACCCCCACCTTCGACTTTTCAAGTTATATACAATGTACATCAGTTAAAGCACTAACATTAGCTTCCCGATGATACCAAATTTATCTAAATTTTCTGTAGCTTAATTTATTACAAAGATACACTGCAGGAACTTCAATAGTGCCCCGCCGAACTTCGCCAACCTCATTTTGAGAAAAATGGCTTTGAAAAAAAAGAAAAAAGACATGCATTGCATTGCACTGCCAACAGCAGTGAAAAAGTTCTTCAGTTTTCTACTTCTGGGGTTTTTCCCCTAACAGAAATGCATATTGTGAATCTTGGATACCTTGACTACTCAACAAAAAAAAAGAATCAAAATTTATTTTGACATGATTTTTCTAGTAAATCCAACTTCAGGCGTCAATTACTCAAAACAAAGTTTGAGGGACATTCCTCATTTTGCCACAGTAGGTTACAAATATCATAAGTACTGTGCTTTTGTTGAAAGAAAATCATTATACATGTATACCGGTATACAGGTACATCTTTCCACCTATGTAGGCTATAAAAAAATACAAACAAAAACATAAATAGCAAATAGTATGCTTCAGTGCCAAAATCCTAAATGAAAAGCTGCCCTTTTCATGTGTTAAATATTCACACGACATCAATTAGGCCTATTACTTGATAGAACATTTCATTATGATCAATTTAATTGGAAAGTAAATTGTCTCCATTGTACAATTTGTTTTCCTTCAGTGTAATTGACAGCGATTATATATTTACATACAATGCACATGAATGCCCACCAGTTCCTAGATAAACTACAAATCATATCGCTTTAGAATTCCGTGGTTTTTAATTGTGAAACCGAGTAGGCCGCAAGTAGTTCATTCACACTAGTATGTCACCATACGATAGCCTCTTCGGCCGGTGAATCATAATTGGGCACATTCAGACATGCACAGACATGGCCACATTATTGAGCCCCGTGTCTTTGCTTACGCTGTACCCCCGCGCCGTTTTACCACTGCACATTATGTTCCTGCGATCTGAGTCTGAAGTGAATTATGCTAAGTCTATGTCAAGTATGTGCAGTCATGGACATGGACATTACTGCATCTAGTTCCCCCCAGGCCCGTCCAAAAAAAAAAAAAAAATTCCTAATGATAAATTCCCATGGTACTCCAAATGATGTACCATTCACAGTATTCTTATTAGAACAAGAACACGAATTTGGCCTGTAGATTGAGCGATTATAAATTGACAAAGACAAGAAATCTGCATTGTGCCTTCGCTAATGAACTACTGGTCTTGTTTTGATAGAATACTACATTGTAGAACTCATTTTTGCTTTAATATTCTCATGACTTTTAAAAAAAATTAATTATTCTGTCTACAATTTTGTTATGAATTGCGTCGTACTTTAATTATTGTATGAATGACATGACAGGCAATATATCACAAACACACACATATCAACATAGGCCGGCTGACCAGCGACATGCATTATAGCCGTGTGCGCGGTGTGCAGAAAATAAATATGTTAAGCAATTTATGAATTCCTGTGGTTTTTGTGCGGCACAGTAGGGTATCGTGGTCGAGAACGGTTGCATGAAGTACGTGTAGCAGCACCAGATGAAGAGACCGATAATTTGTAATTGTGTGGTGAAAAGGGGCATAGAATTTGTTGATAATTTTACTTACAGTTGATTATTTTACTGGTTTTTTTTCTAGAGTATTGTGCAATGGTTCCATGGACGGAGTAAAGCCAAAGGGAGGCAACAAGCTAACTGCATGTACCTGGTACATCGCCCAAAAGTGCCAGCCATCGTCTGCTGCCTGTCAACAGAAGACCAAAAAACGGAGTTCGCTAACAGTCTACAACATTTTTTTAAAGGTATAGTGGCAAATTATATTGATGGCATTATATTTAAGTCGGTGGTACAAATGAAGGTCTTTTTCTGTATTTTTTCCTATATTTGTGGATTTTATTAAAGCCTAAAATGAGAATTTTTCAATACTTTATTTTGTTCTTTTTTGGGGGATCAATGCTTAAATGAAGGAATTGCTATACGCAGCTCTAATATTTTGAGGCAATGTATTTATAGATGGACCCTGTGTTGCGCTGGGGCTCTGCCAAATATTTTTCACACATTGTTTTTAATTTTCTGTCAATCTGAACCTTGAGCATTTTTTGCCTTGAAGATTCCTGAATCCAAGATTGTGCAGTAACCCACTGGAATATTCTTTGTACCTTAACAAGCTTGGAACATCAAACCACACAAATTAACCCTCACCCCTCCTTTTGCTAGGATGCATCTTCAGTCCTTCAACATCCTCCAGCTGAATTCAATACAGCCTCAATCCTCCAAAATCATCAATTTGTGAATTTATGATATGGAGGGGTGACCGCTGCTTAAAATCCTTCAAAATTCTCCAACACAATTTTAAGACGTCTACATGGGGATTAATGCCTCTGGAAAGTTGAAGTACAAATAATGTGCTAGTGGATTCCTCCGCATTGGTGGATTTTGGTGGATTCAGGATTCTGAGCAAAAGCGTTTAAACCGATTAATATGTAGCTCTTTTGAAAAAATATATTTGGCTACTTATTTTTGATGGTGCAGGGAATGTAATGCCTAACTGATCATCATGTCGGCCGTTGACAAGACCAGCGGCTTAGAGAGGAAGGTGACGGCCAAACCCAAGCTACCAGACTCCAAGGGAGAAATGGAAAGCAAAGAGGCAAAAGCAGACCCCAAGTCCGACGGCAAAACGGAACTCCCCAAACCGGAGATCAAGATAGAGTGCGTCAAACCGGAGTTCAAACGGCAGGATAGTAACGGGACTCGCAAGGTACCCACCCTCAAGAAAGACTCGTCCTTTGAGTCCAAGAAGGACAGCGGAGCCAAGGATGGCAAAGTTGGCGATGCGAAGAGAACTGACGGCAAGAAAGAACGGCCGGATTCTCTGAAAAGGGACCCTAAGCTGGACTCGCCGAAAGGCAGGACGGAGTCCATCAAGAAACATGACTGTAGTAAAAACGTCGGGAAGAAGGTCCCCGTTGGTGGGCGGGGTAGAGGGACGGAGAGGGAGGGGCAAGGGGAAGGGATTCCTCGGTTGCAGAGGCAAGCGAGTCAGGAGGAGACGGAGGCAGCACCGGTTCGTCGGAGGTCAAATCCGAGGTCAAAGTTGAGCCGCAGTCAACCGGTGTCGGATGATTCGTCGCCGCCACACACTCCTGATCTACCACTCACAGAACAGGCCTTTATGAAACTTGTATGTATCATCCTTAGATGCCATTTCAAATTGACAAAAACATCAACTTTTCATTTTCAATGTGCATGTAAGTCTGAAACACTTAAGAAAGAAATTTATGAACTCAATGATTTTTGAAGCCTGAATTAATTGTGTGTCTTTAATTTTTCTTTATCTGATTTCTCTCAAATTAAAAGTTTTCATCGACAAGCTATTTTAACTGTTCAAAAAATGATATTCCTTTTTATTGTCTTGGTCTTGTGCAGCCACGTGTGGACCATTTCTCCAGACTGCCTCATCAACTCAGCGGTGACATACCGCCCAACAAAATCTGTAAGCAACACAGCTATGAAGCTAGGAGTGAACCGGCTCTGTCTAGAGGTAAGTTCGTTGACCTTAAGGTAAGGTCAGTGACCCCTGAAAAGCCCAAGCCGACAAGACGTTGAACAGCATGTACCTTCAAACTCATCTTCTAGCTATGCTTCCCAGATTGGAATGCCAAAATGATAGAAATAGACAAATAGTTGGCTTGCCTTGTTGAGCTGGACCTGGAAGTCCCAGTTAAAGACACTATCCCTTCAGCACTTGTATTGAATTGTAGGACGGGTTGAAGGACGGGTTGCAACCCCCCTCTAGATCTGCTACTACCTCCATAAATCAAATAAAACCACAGAGTGCTGGAGGCGATCTGATGAGTAAAAGGCAGGGCAGTTTTGGGCGGTGTGAGAGTTAAATATACTGAGTAGCTCAGCTGGTCATCCAGTTACTAAGTCAGTCCGTGACTCACACAGTCAGAGTACAATTACATGTAAGCTGGCACTTACCACCCAGCCTATCCGCTACTTGACTGATAGCCAAGTCAACTTACTGAATGTTTCGCTAACCGTTGATCACCTGAATCTGGTAGTAAGCACCCTTGAACTCAAGTACTGATCAGTTTCCTTTTTGGCCCAGCGTTTATCATGAGGTGTATTGTACAAGTTTTACATATAATCCAGTACTTTTGAGAGAAGTACTTGACAAACGAATTAAACACACTTCAGATTGTATTTATATTACACATGTGTATGTCAATTTTTTTTTTGACATTGCACTTTGTGTTAAACTTTTCCTGTCTGATGGTACATATCTTTTAAATCAAACACTCTACTAGATATTAAATGTAGAGTAGATCCATTTGCCATTCGTGCATTTGTTTTGTTTGAAGCAACAAAAGTGCTTAAAATCTAAAGACGGGTGCTTAACAACTAAACCTGATGAAGTTTTAGCTCTGTGAATGCTGTATATTCTGAGAAAACTACATGTATGTTTTAGGATCTCGATTTCAATTCAAAAGTTGCCCAGTCATATTTTGAATTGCGCCCGAAATCAGCATCCGGAAGACGTTCTCATTCAGTTGATTACAGCTACACGATGTCACACACTGAATTGACGAATAATAGCAACCGTGCGTGCATCCATTCACGGATTAGACCAATTACAAACCAACTACTAACGGGAATTTCCAAAAATGCGTCACTCGCCTCATCTTTGGAAATGTCCTTCTTTTATTGTTTTCTTCAAAATGACAGCATGCCAGAAGGAATGATTTCACAGGGAGTTTAGTGCCATTACTATCTTTAAACCAAGTAAACTTTTTAACAATAATTTGGTCAGTTACTTTTTGGATAGCTGCTAATGATCTATTCTACCTTTAATGTCATGTAGGAACATTGGAAATAGACCAATTGATTCAGTGAGAAAAAGTTTTCTGAAAGTATTGATATGTGTGGCACCAAGTACTCTGAAATTGTTCCGTATGAAGCTGTATCGTTTGGAAGAAAGCAGTCATTAAAGTGGTTTAAAGGGAATATACATCATTTGCTTTTGCTGTAATTTTCAGAAATGGATGGAATTGGGGGGTTGGAAATATAAAGCAAATATAGTTGCACTGACTTTTTGGAGGTTTTGGGTTCGAAAATGCTATAAAAACCAAGAAAAACGATCATTTTCCTGTAGTCTGGTTCCCTGACTCCATATAAGAAGAAACAGAGCAGTTTACATACATTGGGGAATTGTAAGGTCAGGGAACCAGTCTAGCTGGCTCGTACCCGTTCATAGGTTTGTAATCGATTGCAAACAAGTGCAATGGTCAATTGGGGCCAGTATTTGAAAAAAAGCCAGTTGTTTCCAACGCTGATCGGCCGATCAGCGTTGGAAATTGATACAAAAATACCACTTTTCTTGAAAATGACAGTATACCAGGTGCCATAATTTTACAGGATGCTTCAGGCTGTCATTTACCAACATCCTATTAAGGTATTTCGCAAAAACTTGGTAGTTTTTTTTTTCGATGTTTGCAAATGTTGTATATTCCCTTTAAAAACGTTTTTGGTTGTTTTCTTTTATCTCACAGAACCGAGCCAAGAGAAGGAATTGTACATAGACTCCAGTGGTGTAGACCTACACCAGTTCATTGTAGACACGCTGCAGAAACCCAACGATAGAACAATGCTGCTTAAACTTGAACAAGAATTGTGCAAATTTATCCAAAACCAAAAGTAAGTCATGCAAACTGTAAGGATGTGAATTTTCACAGGATTCTGATTTCTGCCTGTGTTGGACCTAATGAAAATAGAACTTTGCTGTAGTGAACACAGTGGGGTCCACAAAATGATCTAGCTGTATGGGTTCTGAGCACAAGTACCCCCTCAACGGTAGGAATGGGAGAGTTTTGGGGAGACCATTTGGAGACCCTTAGTGGGCACGTGTGGTCTAGCGGTAGAGCACAGGATTCATGATCGTGAGGTTGTGGGTTTGAGCCCCGCCATGGCCATGCGTGTTGTGCCCTTGAGTAAGGCGCTTTACCTCAATTACTCCTCTCAACCCAGGTGTTAAATGGGTACCGGCATTATTCAATGCTGGGAAGGTAACAGACTCACTGTGGAGGAGGTGTGGCGATCCCCCCACAGCAGCATTTCATGGACTCGAGTCTGGCCCAATCATTTCGAAAGAGAGATGGGCACTCTATTCTGTTTGCGAGTTAGCTAGCCCCTTAGACAACCCTATGGAATTTTGTACGTTAAGCCCAGATTTTTTGCCCGTTCCACGTCCATTTGCATATCATGTAATTGACAGTATTTCACAAGCTGCGTTGACCCGATTCTACCACGATAAGTCAACGGCAGAGAAGCTTGCATGAAAATGTTCTAGCCATAATCTTCGGTAGCAATCAGGAGGTTGACAAATTTAGTTATTACATGTTTTTAATTTTTTTGTGGTAATTTTCCGCAGAGAACATGTACGTAAGTTTCCCCCCATGACTTCCTACCATCGTATGATCGTCCATCGAGTCGCTGCGTATTTCGGGCTGGAGCATAACGTGGACCAGGCTGGGAAGTCGGTCATCGTCAACAAGACTCCAAACACCAGAATGTAAGCTCAGTCAGACGACTTAAAAACAGCAGCACACTAGGGGGCTACATTGGTGATACATGGGTGGAACTCTTGACATACATCAAGTTGACGTTTCGGCTCAAATGACACCTGCTGATATTGCTAATGGATAATTGCACATTGTTTTAATTTTTGTCTAATTAAGGCAGTCCATTCCGTAGTCAAAGAGTTCAATTGACTCAAACCAATGATCAATTTTTCAGGGCAGAAATACTGAGATACCGCTTACAAATCAAGATTTATTACCAGTCGAACTCTTGCACTCGCCCAGCCCTAAAAAAAAAAAACGGTTGCAATAAGTTTTACTTAAAAAGTCATACAACTGACCAGTTTATGTCTTTGTCCATTGATGTTGACGATTGCAGTAAAAAGTTGTGTTTTTATAATGCAATCTCTCAGACCAGAGCAGAAATTCCGAGAGCACATTAAGGATGAGCCTCAGGACGCTCAGGCCAAGCGGATCTTGAAACGGGACACAGCAAGCTTTGATGACAAAGATGACGAGGTATTCAAGAGAGTGTAGTGTGTCTGTACGCCTTGTACTGTAGATATTCATATAAGCTGAAACTTATTGCTTTTAGAAGGCCGTTTGCATGTGTGAAAAACGGTGCCATAATCATTAACACAAGTAGTGTGACTGTTTTGAAATGATCGTTCTAAAACTTTGCACTGAAAATCTTAAGCTTTGTATTAATTTTGTGGTCCGAAATTGTTAATGGGTAGTGTCAATTACTGAAAACTGTTAATTTAACAAAATGTCAAAAAAATTCAACATTGGAAGCTGAGTAATCTTTTTAAACATCTTCATATTTTTGCATGTATCACTTTCCAGAGTAAATAAAAAATTGAGTACTCAACTAGTTGAGCTGGATCTGAAAGACTCGGTTTAGGACGTTATTTATACTCAGTGACTCGGTCAGTCACTCAGTCAGTGACTCGGGGAGTCAGTCAGTGACTCATTCACTCAATCATTCAGTCAGTTACTCACTCACTCAGTCAGTGACTCAGTCCGTCAGTGACTCAGAGGACGAAACGCTGGCTCTGTGGCCCTCTGAAGTTCATGCACGTATCAAATGGGATCGTCTTGATTATTCCTTTTTAGGACAAAGGTATTTATGAGAAACTTGAAGGCGGTGTCATCGTGCTAGCTCAGCTCAAAGATGACAAGAAGAGTAAATCCTACGAGGAACGGGAAGAGGAATACGAGCGAGCCAGAGCCAGGATCTTCAACCAAGACGTAAGCTTTGTCACCGCAACTTCAGCTTGTTGTCTTGTACCAACCTTGATTAGAATTTGCTTACCTACAGTCTCTGTTTGCGTGATTTGGAGTCAATTTTTGGATTGGTCAAAAGGGAAGTTATCAAATCAACTACATGTAGGAGAGGAAATGTACGCTACAGTTTGTTTGTATCCAGTTGATGTTTGTTTGATTGTTGGAAATAAAAAAATTGTTTTATTCCTGAGCGATCCCTGACTGTCATTTCCCGGGTTTGAAGTATAAATATTGCTACCAAACTACCAAAAACAAAAAATCTCTCTGGTAACAAAAAAACCCAGACCATTTGTTTGCAATATTTTATTTATTAATTGTGACTTTTTGTTCTTTTGTTCAGTCGGGTTCATCTCAAGAGGGTACTATCATGATAGAATCTCCGGTCAGGTAAGATTTCTCAATGTTTTCCTTTTTTTGTGGGGGTGTCAAAGATTACATATTGTTTCAGCGAAGAAAGAAAGCCACATAACTACATGTAAATATGACCATGTACAAAATGGCATTTCTTAACGATTTCCCGTTAAGTGAAGAAATAAAACATCGTAACTAAACATGACCATGTATAAATTGGCAACAATTTCCCATTCAAACTGCCATTAGCTCACTGTTATTTTAATACCTGCTATTTTAATACAAGACTTTGCCTGTCACATCTTTTAATGTGTACTCCATATTCTTTACTGTCCAATTTCTTGAGAGTATAAGAATTGAAACCCATGACCCTGTAAAATGGGGAGATATAAATGTAATATTGGGTTTTTGCCCTCCACCAGTGTTTTTCTTTACAAGCACTGTATAACTCAGGCTGTCCGAAAGCTTCTAAGAAAAATCTTTACAGACTGCTTGGGTGGGACTCGAACCCATAACATCCTGCTTTCCCTTTAGGAGGCTACTTAACCATGGCCTCCTGCTTGGGCAAAGCCCAATATTAACACTTTGAATTCCACTTTACTTCAACAATCGTAGAGAGTCCACCTTCAACCCTTTGCTTGGCCGACCCATGCGGACCGGTCCCCTGGCCCCCAGCAGTCGTCAGAACAGCGGCACCTCAGACGATTCCACCTACCACTGGAAGCAGGACCGTCCCTGGAGCAGCGTGGATTCCTCCAGCGGGTCTGAGCGGCCGTCGATCCCCGCCGTCACCAAGGCTAGCAGCTTCGCCGGTAGCGGTCTGAGCACCAAGATCCTGATGCGTAACGACAGCAGCGGGAGTAGTCGCAGCAGCGGGAGTCTTGGTAGCCGAGGTAGCCTCGGCAAGCTGCCAAGAGTAGGTAAGCTGAGAGATAACCAGGGTATTAAGTTGTTTTTTTTAAATTGCAAGGTCATCAAGGGCTGAATACGTTCTTCAAAACGTAACCATTTGCCAAGTTGTTTTGAGTCGTCTAAAAGAGGTTACATTTGTGTTAGCAAATCCTGGTGCTGTAACCTCACAATTTAGGATACAAAGAGACCCGAGTCTAAAGTTATATAGATTTACATTTTACTACAATTCAAAAATTACATTTGCACCATCTTTGATTATCAAAATTGAAGTCGCTAAATAAACATGACATTTCTACTGTTTGTTCTGAGAAAAAGTTGTTGCAGTGCCCTCATTGTCACTGTTTTTATGCTAAGCAGGTATTAAAATGTACTTACAAATGTAGCTATATTTTCTGCATAGCCAGCTCCACGAAAAGGCCTAGACATGTACCACAGATTTAACATGCTGAATTCTGGTATGTAAAAGAAGCGATAAGGCTGAATCATAATCGGCGCGAAAGGGAATGCAAACGCGAATTTATGACGTTACGGCAAGTACCCTTCCTCCGAATTCGCAAAGGTTGAACAAATTTCGGCTCCGGCGACTTTCGCAGCGAATATTTCATAACATCAAATTTGACTCACCTTTGCATTCGCACAAAGCATGAACTGGCCTTTAGAGTCGCCTGTTGGCAACAAGCCAAGAGTTTCTTAGAAGACTCCAATCCTACAAAATCCCCGCTGAATCACTCGACAGTGAAAGATTGCCCTAGGAGAGGAGACTGGGAAGGAAGTTCTAGTTTTAGCGGGGAATAGTCCAATTATCCGAGAGGAAACTCACAACATCACATCGAGACCAAGATTAACTAAATCTATGTACCCTCTGGAGGGTCCGAACACGGGCGCTGAAAGTCAAAGGTGGACGAAAGTACAGCTGTACCCGGCTGGGAATTTGGAAGGCTTTTTTTGTTAATCTTGCTTCCTTGCCTACATGCATGTACGTGTTTGTCTTTTTTACCTGGAGTGTTGGATTACCCAGTTGGGAATGTGAGAATTCAGTTTACTGTTGCTTCCGCATTCTAGTTGTAGATGTATTTCCTTGTTGGAATTTCTCCCTTTTACTGCTACAAAGGAGGTGGAAAGTCAAAGTTATTTGGCAAAGCTGTTTTAAATGTATTTAAGTCATAAAAATCCTCAGAAAAATTAATTTCACGGACCCTTTAGCATTACTGGGAACAGGTAACCAGGCAAAACTTCATGTTTTATCTATTGCAGATTCTTAGTTGATTCGCTCTGTGCGTAATTGTATCTGTAGGTTTTGCTGTGTATTTTGTAGATTAAAAAATCAGTTCTTTTTCTTTTGGTTTTTATTCCACCCACACAGATTCCTCAGATCGAGGTTCTGGTAGTCCCAACGTCCGTCCATCCCCTACGTTCCAGTACCACCCCTCGTTAGGCACCATCAGCCAAGTTCAGCAGCACCTCCCCTCCTACTCCACCGCCCCCTACTCCACCACCCCCTCCGTCTCCAACCCCCAGTCCTACCAATGTACCCAGGTCACCTGGGCCGGCAGTATGCCTGGCAGTCAGGGGGTGCCACTCTTAGTCCAGTCCGGGTCGCCTCAGGGGACGCCCCAGCCGGGGACCATCAACCAGCCGGTCCTGTTTGCTGCACCCAACATTGAGTCTGTGCCTCCGGGAAGCGTGCTCATCAATCCACAAACAGGTTACCTTTCCCCCTTTGGTTACTTGGAATCATGATTCTTCCTTCTCAGTACTTCTGCGAGACCCTTGCCACACTTTAGAAGTTTTGTTTCTTGTTATTATAGAAATGAGATATGAGGGAGACGTTTGTGGATACCCCAAGTGAAGTGACTGCCGCAATAAAGACAGGTGGTTTTGAGGAGAACCTGAGGTGTTTGCTCTCAGCTTCATCTGAGAACCACTGCACTTTATTGAGACTGACACATCACTTGGCGTACCTGCAGGGCTTCTCTTTCATCGTCATGGAATTGTTATCATGTAACATTCAAAATACTTGCCTTGCTGTAAAAAGATAATAGTGTGAAGAAAAATATCTTCATTGTTGAGTATGGTTCATCTGGAATAACACTCTTCGTTTCTGTCTTTTGTCAGGCACGCCGTTTTTAAACCCAGACGGAACGCCGATGGTGTACCAGCCACAAAACGTCAACCAGCAACAAGTCATGTCAACCCAGCAACAGCAGCAACAGCAACAACAGCAGCAGCACATGCCAATCACTAGCCTACCCAACCAGCCAAGCCACACCTTCCCAACCCAACAGCAGATGATGTCGCAGCAACATGCCATGCAGCAGCAGCAACAGCAGCAGCAACAACAACAACAACAGCAGCCACAACCAATGGTCTCGTCCCAGCACTTGCAACATCAACAAATGGCCGGCCAGTTTCAGGCCGTTGGCGGTCATGTTGGATCTCCGGGTACCCTCTCCCAACCTTGTGGAATGCAGCAGCAGCAGCAACTGCAGCAACAGCAGCAGCAACAGCAGCACGGGATGGTACACCATCAACACTCAGGGGTATGCAACCTAGTTGTGGTGACGTCTTGTTTGTAAGCGTTTCTGATGTCCTACTGTTTTATTTCAGATTTTTTCATGGACAGTCTCTCTCTGTGCAGCAAAACAAAACAAAATTAATTGTTGAATTCCTGTCCTCGTCATTTGCGACAAACACTGTTAAACTTTGTCTGTCTCATGAAGCTTATCAGTAATTTTTATTAGTTGTTTATCAGTTAAGACTTCTTTAATTGTTGGTCTTTTAACTTGTAATAACCCTAACCCTACCAGGCGCAACACAGTGCATCAGGTGGAAAAGTCTGGTGCCCTTTGATGCATTCAGCTACCAACACCAGTGCATAAACAGCCACTTCTGAGACAATGAGAGCTAGTCCCATAGAACAATGCCACAGTTGTATCCTGCTGCATTCGGGGACCACAGACTCTGAGGCAAATTGGCATTGAGACTTTTGACCTCATAGATCTTGCTGCACTGGGCAGGCTTGTCATTTAGACAAGTGTTGCATGTTGCTGCGTTTGGCAGGGTTTCTAGCCTAAGGAGGATTAGGGTTAAAGAAGTCTTTTTACATAACCAAGCAAATCTATTTTACTGAAAAGAGAATCACGCTAGGGTCACCAGTTGCGATCACAGAACTAGTTTGTGCAAACTGTCCAATTTTTCACAAAATACGTATATTTTCTGGGAAAATGCACTCCTTAAACTCTTTCAAAAACATGCAAAGACTGGGATAAAAACATTACACTAAGACTTTCATGAATTGTGTCAAATATAGTTATAAAGTGGTGTTTACTGCAATACACATCACTTTCATTTGTTACCAATTTGATGTTTCATGTTATTTCAGAAAAATCTGTTGATCAGGTTGGCATCATTTCACCTCTAAATGCAGGAATATCCAGATATAACTGCACAAATGCAGCAGCTCCACTTCACCAGGCAGCTGTCGGGCGGCGACGGCGGCGACATAGCTCAGCAGCTGCAGCAACAACAACATCAGCAGCAGTTGCAGCATCAGTTACTGCAACAGCAGCAGCAACAGCAGCAGCAGCAGCAACATCAACAGCAGCAGACGCAGCAGTCGGTCCCGGTGGCGCAGCAGTACATGCAGAGTTCCTTTGTGCGACCCGTCAGCCATGTTGGGATGGGTTCCCCCGGGGTTCAGGGAGCGTCTCAACAGCACCAGCCGCAGCCGATGGGGCAGCCGCCCTCGCAGCAACATGCCCAGGTCAGTTTACGAGTCGCCTCTCAGGACTCTTCACATCTTGAAATTGACGTCAGTTAAGTTTATTCCAAAAAATTAGGAATCAAAATTTGCTTGTTATTTACAATGTAAGGAGGGAACAACAGTTAAGGACCCACAAAAATTGGCCATAAGCCACGCCTACCTTTTGGTTTTTGTAGATTTACGACAGTGCTTGAGACCGAGTTTAACGAAGCTACCGTGGTCACCTGACCGAAGGTGGTGACAGACAGGAAGGGTCCTTTTATGTGTCATGAAAAACTTCTGTTAGGCAACCCTAAACCCTAACCATCCCCAATCCTCAAAAATCCTCCAGGCGGATTTGGAGGATTTTGGAGGATTGAGGATGAATGGCAAGTGTCGGTTGATTTTGGAGGATGCATTGTGTTGAGTTTGTAGGCTATACCCTGCATTGTTTATGTGCAGCCATGCGTAATTGAGCCCTGCATTATGCTTGATTTCATACGCACTGCTTCTGAATGTCATCGGCACTGCCTCAACCCATTAACAGTGGTTGTTGGAGGATTTTGAAGGATTGAGACAATGGTCTCCCCTCCACTGAACAAATTCAAGAAATGACGGATGATTTTGGAGGATAGAGGCTGAATCCAGTTTTTATATAATGGCAATTGGAGGTTTTTGCAGGATTGAGGATGGTTTCAGGCCAAAAGGTCCTAGGATGTTTAGGGTTAAGAACCATTTTATCAATCCAGGACTTTTCTACTCTGCATAAGTAGATTTCAGGAATATTTTACAATTTTGTTTTTCTTTGTCGTTTGTAGGTGGTACATCAAGTTCCCCAGTCCCAACAAGTGAGTGTTCCAGGACCAATGATGCGCCCCTCGCCTCCATCTCAACTCCTTCCCCAGCAACACTCCTTACAGGGCCTCCAACAAGTCCAACCTCAGTCCCAACAACTTCCCACCAGCAGCCCGCATCAACTAGGGCTGGTGTCCCCCGGTAGCCAACCACCGGGGGGACCCGTCTTGTACCAAACGCAGGGTGGGCTGGTGAGTCCCCAGCAGCCCATGGCGCCGCCAGTACAGCAAGTATCGTACCCGCAAGGCTACCAGGGTGTGTTACCCCCTCAACAACAGCAGCAACAACAGCAGCCGAGTCAACCGCAGATTATGTACCAACCTCCCATGGATCACCAACAGCAGCAGCAGCAGCAGCAACAGCAGCAGCAGCAGCAGCAGCAACTGCCACCGTTCAGTCAATCTCTGCCGATATTTTACCAGCCGGCCAACATGGCCGGCCACCCTGCCTTACAGGGCGGCCAGCCGGAAATGCAACAGCAACGTCCGACCTCCCCAAGTGCCCCGACTCCAGTAATGATAAACCAACAGCAGCTGATGAATTACCCCCCAGGTATGGCTGGTCAACGCCCGCCATCTCAACCACAACAGCAACAGCCACAACAACAACAACAACAGCAACCTCAGATTGTGACGTCAAATCCGTATGTTCAATCGGTGCCAGGAACGTTAGCAGGCCACCCAATGCCTCCTCAGACTCTGTTGCAATATCACCCCCACTCGCGACGAGCTTACGGCGTGGAGCAACGTGCAATCAAAGGCTGGGAGATGTACGGACCAGAGGGCTCCATGCAGAGCCCCGGAGTGTCGCCGTCACAGAGTCCTGGGCCGACATACATGAGAATGAGCCCGCAAGAAAGAGGTCAGTCCCCAAGCGTTACTTCATAGCGCTGCCAAGCTGAAAAATGATTGCTTAACGAATTAATGTCATTCAGCTGAGAACCAGTTAAAATGCACTATACATTGTATGACATATTGGCTGGTAACCTGCTTTTGCTCAGCAAAAAAAATTCTTAGCTCAGAAAATATTTATGCTAAATACTTCTGTGAAATTCCCCCCTGGGCCAGATTTCATGGCAGTGCTTAACGGTTAGTAGGAAACTTTTGCTTAATATTCTCGAATCTTAAGCATTCTTCATAGATGTGGTAAGGGTGAAACTTCTTTTTGCGAATTCTGTTGCAAACTCTTCCATTGGAGTCGCGTGTTCTTTGCATTGCTTACAGCCAATGGTCCTCTTGAAATAAAGTGAGTTTGTTAAGAAGAAAAACTGTCTACGTAGCAGCCCCATTTGTGACTAAAGCTATTTTGTGCCTTTGGGCTCACAGTACGGTCCATGTGCTCTATCTGGACCATTATATGAATTGAAGGATTTCTGCCATTCCACTAGAGCAGCCTCTGTTCTCAGCAAAACAGTGGAATGGTCAATTTTGGGAGCAAGCCATTCCATTGAGAAGATTCTGACTATTTAAACTTTTGAGTTGTGTCCCTAAGGCCTGCACTGCAGGCCTATGTATTCTCTCTTTACGATTACTCAGAAGCACACCCTCACAAAGGTATCTGATTCATTGACCTTGGTCATTTTTCTATTACAGGAAGTACTAGGTCTGGTCAATTCAACAAAGTTCGTCCTCCAAGAGCGCCGCGGAGACAACGTAAGATCCAGCACTCGGAGGCAGTCGGTCAACCCGAGCCTGTAGAAACACCCGGTAAAAATGGCACGGAATTAAAAACATGGGCATTTATTTTATTTTGCCTCACACACTTTCCAACCTGGCATTGTAGAGTTGTGCAGAACTAGCTTATTCCCAAGCTCTCAATTGAGACCAACTTTTGAAACAACAAGGAGCTATTGCATCCACTCGCCAGTGTGAAACCGAAATGTAGTTGGGTCGAATTTAGCCACTTTAAATACCATTTGTTCGGTGTGAGTCGGGAACGTCAGTCTGATACAGGAATGCGTTGCTAGAATGCATTATCTATAATGTATGTCAGTTTTTGTAGAATCAAATTTGTAAATAGTGTCTATTTTAGAGAATTGCGCCACTTTTCAATTGTGGTTTTTGTGTTGTCATTTGTCACAGAGTGAAAGGCTGTGGTTGCCAATCAAGGCAGGTGGGGGGAAAAAAGACATTTCACCATGAAAAGTGGCGCAAGTCTCTAAATAGCCCTTTCATAAAATTGATCACTGCTCAGTCAACCGTGAATGTAATGACATGACCAGGGTGTCATTTTAAAGAGGAGATTCAACCCTAACAGAGGCTACTCCCTTTGATTCACATGTGCCCTACTGCTGTTCCAATTAGCAATAATATCTCGGTTTCGTTTTTTTGTATCCACCATGTATATTTATTTGTTGCTCGATTTTTTTTTAGCAGTTTTCAGTTCAACAAAGACACTCAAACTTCTTTGACCGAATATTGATTTAACCTCATCCGATTTCCAATATGTCTTTCTTTCACGATCCAATTTCTCGTCCTTTCGTAGTTGTTCCTGAAATTCTAGAAGTCAGCAATCTTTCGGCGGACCTGACCTGTAAGGCGGTGTTGACCCTCCTCGAGGATGCGGGGAAACTCGGCGGGGAGATCCGATGGTGCCCCAACGACGGACAGAGTCCATGTGTGGGATATCACCAGGTAAGGCAACCTATCACATCTTGAGGCCCACAAAAGGCATTTTCCTCTCAGATGATTGCTTCAACTATAGTAGCTTAGGCCAAAAAAAAAAAAGTCTCCGGTTTCTGGTATGCGCGCGCGTCGCCGTAGCCATGCGCGTCGGCAAAATGAAAAAGTTGTTTTTTCAATACAAGATGATGTCTCAAAACCGCCAAATTCACTGGTTTGACTGGAATCCTGCTGCTGCACAATTTTAACGTGTTTTTAGATGGGGTTATGATCGAGATTAACCTTTATGTGGCCTCTCTGGACTCCCATTATATTTGCACTAAGTTTAGTCGGGCACCATTTGCAGTCATCAGCCGACATTTGATGCAAAAAAAACAGGTAAAAAAAAAAAAAAGCCGCGTCGCCGCACCACTTTTTGGGCAAGCTCCATACCAGAAACCGAAGACTTTTTTTTTTGGCCTTATCTTCTGCATGTTAGAAATACAAGCACGTGTTCAATGCAAGTCAAGGTACAATAAGTTGTATAGTGACCAGTATCATTGTACCAATTTCGAATGAACAGTATGATTGAGAAAAACAAACTCTTTCTCTACTTGACATTTGTTGTGTCGCCTAAACGAAGTTTTGGGGGACACTTAACAGTCCTAAATTCTGTATCCATGTATGACAGCGATGCATGCAGCGATCACTAGCCGTGCAAAACCACTTTTCACTCAACACTTTGCCAACCGCAGTACAGGAAGTCGATGCCAATGCGTGATTTGTTGAATGCTGACTTACACAAAGGATTTTGTAATGCTTTTTATGGAAAGGGGACCAAGAGTAACTTGAGCAAAATGGCGACTTAAAAGCCGACTTAGAAATAAAAAATTCAATGGAAATGCATTACGGACAATCAGGACTTGAGCGACTTGAACGGCCGACTTGAGCGATTTGACGAGTTGTACAATGTCAGTTTAGCCAGAGTTTACTGTATCTTCAAATGAGATATGGTTCTGAGAAAAACCGGAGATGCTAGTTCAACATTTTAGTCAGCAAACTCTGTTGGTTATCCGGAGTATGCTTAATCAGGTTATAATGATGGTCGGAGAAAACTGACTGATTGACTCAGTCACTAAGTATAAATAATAATGTCCAAACTGAGAGTTTGTTTTGTGATTTTTTTTTTTTGCATAATAACTGCATGTCTCATGCCCATTACTAATCACACATTAACCCACCGACATTAACTCATTTCATTGTGGCACTTTTTTTTTTTTTTTTTTTTTTTCTCGTGTTTTGTATCGTGTCAAGGTTGATCCCAACGAGCAGGTTTCCAATTACACCGTTCTCATCAGGTTCCCGTCGTCAGAAGCAAGTCAGGGCGCCCTCAGTAGTCTATCTAGTGCCAGTTTCACTCTTCAAGTTCCTGAGCGAGACTACAATCAACGTCTATCACACCAGCTGTCCACATAGTCCAATTGTTCTTTTTGTAAATTAATACAATTGTTAGTATATTTTTTTTTCGGTCGGCTTTTTAGGCATTTTAATTAAACAGCTCTTCTTAAACAATGTCGAAGCATCACAGAAATGAATTGGTCCGATAAGTTTGGCTCAGTAAATTGTGAATGGAGACAAAATAAATTGTATTTGAAAATTGTGTGCGTCTTTCAAAATTGATAGCAGAGAAAGAAAGAAAAAATCAGAAAGAAATAAAATCGTTTTGCATCGAAGAGGAATTATGAGACGAAAATACTTAAAAGTTTTTGACCTTATGTTGTATATGCCGTGTGGGTAGTTTTTTGTAGTCGAGCGTTGTTAGGTAGGAAATCTTTGAATGTTGTAGAAGCACACTTTATATCACATGATGGACGTATATGTAAGAATATATATTTTAATGTTTGAAACGAAAAAGAAATTTAGCCCAGTTTGTGTTTTTGGTTTGAATCGTTGGTCCTCTACCAGGGTGTCAGTTTTTATAAATTCGGAAGTTCTGCTTAGCAGGTTTGTTTGACATAGTAAGTTTACTTGTGAACCAACCAAATGACAGCATCCTTTGCATTGGATTTTGGCCGGTGACCGGTGAGTGTGCTTACTATTTCTTGTCTGCTAAGCGGGATTTCTGATCGGAAAATTGGCACTCCTTTTATAGCCCCCATGTGACTCGTTTTAACTCCTCTCTTTTTTAAACTTTGTGTTTAATTTTACGTTTACGTGTTACGAGATAGGAATGCTGCAACAATCTTAAACCTTCAAAACTTCCAAATTTGAACCCCAGACAGAAGTTCTTTCCTTGCTGAAGGCTGGTAGAAAACTTTATTTTTAAAAAAGATTCTGTGACTAATTTCCCCGATTTTCCCTCAAGTTTGGTAAATCCTCATTTTTCAGTACCTGTGATGGGGCTATGCCTGCCTCGTACATCTGACTCTGGCATAGAAACAGAAATATCCGCTTTCGATAAATTGGCTAAAATTGTGGAACAGCTCTGAAAAAGCTCACAAGTCCTAAGAAACTCTGCAGTAGCAATTCACTTCTTTAGACTTCTCCCACTTTTTCGAAACTGCAATTCCAATAGACTTGAGACGTAATGACGTAATGGCTTCGTTGACATGCGCTTTCCTATGGGAGCGAAGTCAGGACGCCAGATAAAGTGGGGACCGTCTACTACGTAGGAAAGGGCACATGTAAACAAAGCGTGACATCGTTTCGTCTCCGGCCTATTCTTCCCGGGAAACACGATAACTTCACTGGCTAGCATTCTGAAACCTCATATATGCACAAAGCCATGTTGTTATTCAGCTAATATTGCATTTCATATTTCAGCCCATTTCCCAAGTTTGACCTTCATAAAGCCCGTCTTCTAGAGTTTTTTGGGGGTCGGTTGTCATGGTTATTTTAATTTTGAAAGTGCAACTCAGTGTGTGATTTGAACTTTGTGTAGTACAATCACTGCATGTGCAACTTGTATTCAACTATCTCAAGGGTAGATCTCGTAGTAGTGGTCAGACTGAGACATACTTAGCCTTTAGAAGTAACTTTTCCTTGTTTTATGTTATTTATTTTACAGTTTTAGAGTGGAGAGACGTGATAATGTACGTCATTCACAGGTCTTTGGCCCTTGTCATTTCTGAAACACAATCAAAGCTGAAATTGATCCATCCAAAATGTGCAAAATTCTGCATTTGAGAATTTTTTTTGGATTTTTGTCACCCAAATGTTACATTAACCGAGGGAATAATTCTCCACGCTTTCCTTGTTGGCTCCACATCCGGCAATCAGTCACTTCACAGAACAAACATGATGTCAAATAATATTGACAGTAAAATCGGTGCAAGAAATTTGTCATTTCTGTTTTTAAATGTACAGTATTATTTTTTTCTTTCTGGGAAACTGAAAATACTCACTTGAAAATTTCCATTTTTACCCGATACCCTTGACCTATACAGTTTTTCCCAGATGTTGGAAGAATTTGTTACGTGGAAAAAAACTGGGCATGTATTTTTTTTGTTTTACTTCTTGCAGGCAAGGGTCAACAAAAACCTGAAATACTGTCACGGCTTGTTATTTGGTAGCTAATTTCCAGTAGAGAACTAAAACTTTATTTTAAAAAAGAAACTTAACAATTTTGGGTACAGTAGGTTACATGCTTTTTTTCATTCACTGTCATATGTTGTTACTGTTTTTTTAGGTAGTAATTTTCATTTTTGGAAAATTGTCACGATAGAGTTTGTCCGAACTTTCTCATCGTGAAATGTAAATTGTGTACTACGTGTAGTTTATGTTACAACTTGAAGGAAGAAAAAAAGGTACCAAATTGATAATTTGCGATAGGTTGATTTTAATTACCAAAGGATTGTTTCTTGTGAGTATTTCTGTAGCATAAATGAAGTATTTCAGTAGGGTTTCATAACATCAGATGTCATTGTTTTTGGGAAAGTTTTGGAAGGGAGGATCGTGTATGCTTTGTGCAGTGCCGTATGCACACATTATATGCTGCCTATCAAACCGTTTATTTGTGCCAAAAAAAGAGTGTTTTTAATATGCACTGGTATTGAGGAGAATTTTGTCAAAATATCAGGAACCTGTTTCACGGAAGTCATCAAATAGTCTGCTGCAAAGTCACAATTCATCACATCAAGAGCACGGTCACTTTCGGCCGTACTTTGTGCCTGCATACAATCCAATAAAAATGCTTACTTTTACCATTGGTGCATGGTGACGATGATGAGTGATTTTTTATATTTTGTTTCCCGTGACTTTCATGAAACTGGTTCCCCACCATTTTGACCGGTAACCATTTCGCACAAATGCAGTTTATATTGTAATTCCAGTAATCCAGTAGTCGATAGCGATAACGTCACAGTGATATCCCAAAACCTGGTAGGCTGTAATAACTGCACTGTGTAGGTGCACTCACCAGCACTTCGGTAGTATTCACTTTTTGGAGCCATATCAATAGCGCCCTCACGGTATAGCCGTCACGAGTTGAGGAAGTGCAACTTGTTCTTGCGTAGTGCAATTCTATTGCATCTGTTTGGTGTAAAAGCATTGGTGCCTAACCATGAACCGTAGCAGTTGGTCCATGGCCCATAGTATTGGTGCCTATCCATTGCCCATAGTAGTGGTCCATGGCTGATAGCAGTGGCCCATGGCCAGTATCATTAGCCCATACTATGGTCTGTGACCCATAGCAGTGATCCATGGCACATTGTAGCATTCTATGGCCCGCAGAAGTGTCCACAACCAACTGCAGGTGTCCATGGCCCAGAGCAGTGGTCCATGATCGATAGCAGTGTTGCCATACCATGTCCCATGACAGGGAGCCATCAAGGCCTTTTCACACAAGAGCCTCTCAACCCGGGTTGAACTCAACACTGAGCAAACCAAGTGCCCCACAGGGTCAAGTTTTAAATGTTTCAACCCTGCGTTAAACATCATGTTCAACCCCATATCATTTCAGACTTGTTTTGTGCAAACCAAGCTTATTTCGCTCAGTTACTACTGTTTGGAACCCTGGCGAGAGTTTCAACCCGGGTTGAAAAGCTCAACCCTGGTCTGGAGCAGGGTTGAGTTCAACCTGGGGTGAAATCCTAGGGTTGACGCAGGGTTGAACATTTTCAAGTGTGAAACACCCCATGTTTTCAACCCTGCGTCAACCCCGTGTCAACCCTGAGATTTGTCTAGTGTGAAGAGGCCTATAGCAGTGGCCCATGGCCCATAGCAGTGGACCATGGCTCGTAGTATTGGTGCTAATACCCCATACATTTACCGGTAGTATTGGACTATTGGTTCCTATCCATGGTCCATAGCAGTGGTCCAAGGCTCTTAGCAATGATCACTGGCCCTGATCAGTGGCCTATGGTCCATAATCCTCTATACCCCATGACAGTGGTTCATGGCCCATATCAGTGGTGCCTATTACAAATAAATATAAGCTTCTCCCAATGGATGAGGCTGATAGCGCCCTCTATAGGTGTGCGCATGTCATGAGAATATCACTTTGTGCATTGCATACTCCCTTAAAATCAACTCAACCTGATCAAGAATAAAGAATGAATAAGAATATACTGATGCGCAAGCTTAGCTTAAAATCCCATAAAAAAAGTTTATCATGTACTTAATTTTTTACTTTTATCCACTTTGTGAGGGGCTGGGGACAGAAAAATAAAGGGGGGGGGGGGGTTTGATCCTCAATCAAAAATACCTCCGAATTAATTGGTTTGCAACAAATCATTGTGAGGAAGTCAAAAAGAAAACAAATAAAATTGCTATTTTGTTAACGGTAATTTGACAAGGGTTTTTTGTACAAAATGTTTTGCAAAGGAAAAGGAACGGACGGTGTAGGAAACAGTTGTAAAAGGGAAGTTGTTGTTGGGGGGGGGGGGGGGGGAAGGATCCCAAACATGTGGGTTAAAATCATGACGACATAAAGCTTGATTAAAGGGAATATACATCATTTGCTTTTGCTGTAATTTTCATAAATGGATGGAATTGGGGGGTTGGAAATATATAGCAAATATAGTTACACTGACTTTTTTGAGGTTTTGTGTTTGAAAATGCTATAAAAACCAAGAAAAACGATCATTTTCCTGTAGTCTGGTTCCCTGACTCCATATAAGAAGAAACAGAGCCTTTAACATACATTGGGGAATTGTAAGGTCAGGGAACCAGTCTAGCTGGCTCGTACCCGTTCATAGGTTTGTAATCGATTGCAAACAAGTGTGATGGTCAATTGGGGCCAGTATTTGAAAAAAAGCCAGTTGTTTCCAACGCTGATCGGCCGATCAGCGTTGGAAATTGATACAAAAATACCACTTTTCTTGAAAATGACAGTATACCAGGTGCCATGATTTTACAGGATGCTTTACACTGTCATTCACTAACAGTCCAGCAAGGTATTTCAAAATGATTTGGTAGTTTTATTTTTTGATGTTTGCAAATGTTGTATTTTCCCTTTAATTAATAGAAATACTGTAAAATCATCATAATTTGTCAAAGGAAAGAGCTAAATCTTTACTGAAATGACCCGTTCCACCTTTACTGCAATTTTTTTGGGAAGGGGGGGGGGGGGGAGTGGAAGTGGAGAAGTATCATAACAGTCCGCTTTAATTCCAATTCCATGGAGAATTTTGACAATCATGAAAAATGGAAATACATTTCAAATATTTGCTGCACCTTTTTCCCCTTTCTCCTGAAGTTGCAAAAATCCACTAATTAGGAAATTTTGATGCTCTTTCAGCTTTGTTCCCATACTTCATGCCACATAATATTATGATTATATATTTTTTTTACACCTTCCAAACATTCAAACTGTTCTGGAAAAAAAAGAAAAAAAATCGACAAAACCACTGCATTCTTGTTCATTTCACCCAATGTCAAGCCCTGAGGTACACCGTTCACGTACTTGTTTTAGAAACACTTTGAAGGAAAAAATAAAATAAAAATGAAATTGTCAAATTTACTGTTTTCTGTACAAGTAGGTATAAAGTTAGCCCATTGTTCTGTATGAGGTAATGCAGCATGCTGGCCGGTATTGTGTTCCGGATCTCAGCTACGTGTCTGTAACGTGTACATTACAAGTTGTGTGCAATGTGTAAATGGACTGAAAAAAAATAATAAATTATTATGGAAGAAAAAAAAATTGCTTTGTTGTCTCTTTATTATAGATACACAAGGGCAGATCCGGGGGGGGGGGGGGGGGGGGGGGGGCCAACGGGGGCCATGCCCCTCCTCCCCCCCCCCCCCCCGTGACGTTGCAATGGCACGCATTGCGTACACCACCATTTTTTTCCGCAAACAAATATTGGTCAAAGTGGTCAGAAATTGCCTTAGATCGCACCACGGAGCATCTAGAATCCAAAAAAAAAATGGGGACCACTTTTTGGGGACTGAAATTTTTTTGGCCCCCCCCCAACAAAAAATGTGTTCTGGATCCGCCCTTGTAGATACAATTAAATAAACAAAACAAAAAATAGAATGCACCTTTCTTTTGTTGGGGAATATATGAAAAGCATTTTTCCAAACTGCAGTAAATACCATTTTGATACCTATTGAAAAATTTGAATAATTCTGTCAAATTTTGGGTGGGAATGAACCAAAAACTGAACCAAAAAACCAATGCAAGTGTTATGTCGTGTGCTTCGATACTGTAATTTCATTGGTCGAGAATGGCCATGTGACCAGTCTGTATTTTGCGTGCGTGTAGAACGTGCATGCGCTTTCGCGCGACTGAAAACTGCAACTGCTCAGTGTCGTGTCCGGCAGGAAAGCCTAGAGTTATCAAGGGTTGTACCGCCATGAGTTAAAGGGAATATACATCATTTGCTTTTGCTGTAATTTTCAGAAATGGATGGAATGGGGGGGGGGGGTTGGAAATATATAGCAAATATAGTAACACTGACTTTTTTTCAGGTTTTGGGTTCGAAAATGCTATAAAAACCAAGAAAAACAATCATTTTCCTGTAGTCTGGTTCCCTGACTCCATATAAGAAGAAACAGAGCAGTTTACATACATTGGGGAATTGTAAGGTCAGGGAACCAGTCTAGCTGGCTTGTACCCGTTCATAGGTGTGTAATCGATTGCAAACAAGTGCGATGGTCAATTGGGGCCAGTATTTGAAATTGATACAAAAACACCACTTTTCTTGAAAATGACGGTATACCAGGTGCCATGATTTTATAGGATGCTTTACACTGTCATTCACTAACAGTCTAGCAAGGTATTTCAAAATGATTTGGTAGTTTTATTTTTTGATGTTTGCGAATGTTGTATTTTCCCTTTAATGTATTTCCTACAAAGTAAGTTACAACCATTTATAGTTGTGACTTATTAGCACCATATAACAAAACAATTGTTGACTGCTGTGATGTGGGATATGTCGTATCTAACCCCCTTGGGACGCATAGTTCCAGTGCTGCCAACTCTCACGCATTGAACGTGAGACTCACGCATTTCAGGTTGTTCTCATGCTCTCACACGCACACAGGATTTCTCATGCTCAAAAAATAAATAAATGAAACTCACAAATGATGTTCAAATGATGATCTTTTGACCCAAAAAATTGGTTTAAGTGGTCAGAAATGCCTCAGATCGCACCACAGAGCGGCTCGAATCCAAAAATGTTTGGGGCCCTTAAGCAGGTCCTTTAACCCATGCCGTTGGGTATTCGTGCTTTGCGCTCGCATTTATAGCATGATTACTTCTGATCTAGCTCCATCACCAAATTCTCACTCTCAGCTCTTACTCTAAATTGGCTGCCCTAAAGTTCACCTCGGTGCTATGCTCACCTCAGGTGTTAAAAATGGCATATCCCACATCGCAGCAGTCAACGATTAAATGTCGAACACTTTTGGGAGGAAGGGAGCTAGATTGAGTTTTGGTTAAACTGAATATAAGTCCCCAACCCACCAGTCTGCCAAAACTGCACCATTCCTGGTCATCTAATAATTGAAATGTTTTCAAATTTTGACATCGATCCTACGCGGTCAGACTTTCGATAACTTGAAAAGACAAATAGCATGTAACCAGAGTAGGTGTCAATGGTTGCCAGATCATGAAACATTTGTGTGAGTAATGTTTAACATGTAACCCATACTAATTCTTGTGTACAGAATTGATTATTGAGATTGCCACTTAAAAACTTAATCCTTAAAGCAAACATGATTAATTCTTACGAGCTAAAGTCAGATACGATTTTGAAGACCTTGATTTTTTTTTATAATATAATTTCTGTTATGTATTTGGGTAATTGCACTATTGAGAAATGTTTTCTGATGTGTTTCGATATCTCAGATCTATATAAATGAGTGACTTAATTTCTGAAACTATGTAGAAAATGTCATGTTGACATCACTTCTGGTGAAAAAAAAGTTGACTTGAAGTTCATTTTACTTTAATGCTTTTACTTTTGTATCAGTTACGGCTGTCGAATGTAATTTCTTATTTGCAAGAACACACGACTATCCTGTGCATAGAGCAATAAAGTAGTATCATATTCCATTGGTTATAAAAATCCCAAGTTGACATGTGAACCCTTGCTTCTTCCAATCATACCCCCATAAATGGAATGGAACAGTCCATCTCCAAGGAAGGAAAAAAAGATAGAGAGACCATACCAGGCATTCCGCGCATACCAGGCATCCCAGAATGCATCTGGCGCTCTAGCCTGTCAGATTGCCAAGTTGTCGGTGCCTTGTTGAGTTGGTCTTTTCTAAAAATTGCTTTCGCCGGTGAGAACACTACCAGGGCTTAGCGTATTTAGCCGAAGGACCCTCACGTCTTCAAACGTTAAAAGAATATCACCACAATGGTAAGCATAGTTCCTTTCCGGAGTTTCGGAAAACTTTTTTCTTGTCTTGGTAGATTAAACTAAAGACATTTCAGGATTTAATTTTCATTTTTCTGTGCTTAAAGACTATTTTCTTCTTTCAAAAGTTGTATTCTGAACTTACATATGTAATTTACCTATTTGTTCATGAGTTATGAATTTGGTTGTACACTTATTTTGGAACCTACAATTCGCTATATATGTTAATTATTTTGTCCGAATATAATGATTGTTTCATGGATGTTATTTAAGTCAGATTTGACCATCCAGCAAAGCCAAGCATTTTGAGTATCTGTTGGAGATTTTGTTCTTGGTAAAGTTTGTGATCTAATTAGTTCATAAACTGCGAAGTGCGATGTGTGCAACTTCAAATGATAACATTTGAGTTCACGAAGTAATTTATGGAAGAACGAAGTCATCACCTAAAAGATATCCACATTCATTCAATACAACTAATTCTTTATCTTATTTTCTTAAGTTCAATTTGGTCCTAGCCAATTTATTGTCCAAGTTGTTACAGTTTGCATTGCGAAAAAGAAAATGTTTGGAATTGAAATTGAAATTGAAATTTTTTTTCTTTAAAGGCGCGGGAACCTGGCAATTTCTCAGATGACCAGATTGAAGGTATGTTATGATAAATTACTAAGATCTTACTTAGAAAACTCTTTAACAGAATTGGTTGTTATTCATCAAACAACGCAAAAAGCAAGTTATTTGGGGGGCAAAGTTATGGACAACTTTGATTGGTGCTTTTCAGCTGGCCATATTCCAAGCTGTATTTCTGAGGGTTTTAAAAGCTTCATTCTTTGGTGTGTTTTTGGTGACAATGGAATTTAAGTATGTGTGAAAAAGGTCTTGATTTCAATAAATAGTGCATTAGCCAAAGTTGCAGTTGAGTGACAAATTTGACGTCAACTGTCGACAAGTTTCATGTCCATGGAAAAAATCCATCCTTTCAGTTCCTTTTGATGCCAGGCCAACTCACAAACTTAATGATTGAGCTGGTACTGTAGTGCTGTAAATGCCTCACTTTTTTTTTACAATGATCCTGTGGATACATAATTTATGTCAAATTGACCACTTCAATAATTTTAACAATTAGTGGTGTGGAGTACCCTTCATAGTTTTGTTTGAATAAAACTTGACTTCAGAATAAATCTTATTTTGCTTTTTTGCTAGTTATCAGAAAAATCAATTAACTCAGAAGGGATTGACTTCTCTGCTCCCTTTTGGTTCGCCCGGAAAGAAAGGTCTCAAAATTGACTTTAAACTAAGTAAATATGGGTTGTTCAGATATACCCATAGACTTTTTGAAACAAGTTTTGTAATAAATACAGTATGCAGTTCTTGTAAATTTATATCAATGAACGGCAAAACACAATATTGAATTTACATATCACTGATTACGAATTCCACCATATTGATTGTTTTGTAATGTAACAATAGCTCTTGTAGCGACCTTAGGAAAAAACTGGATCAATTTACCATCTCAAGTTGACTTCATCTGAATAATGCTTTTATACCCGCATTGTATTTGTGCAGTGTGTAAGCCAACATCTGAATTATGTGGCTACGACTTGCAGTCATACACATGCCTATGGGAAGCGGGCTCAGCCACTTCCATTGGTGCATGTGTAGTTGCTAGTTGCTAGCTGTAGCCTTTCTTTGTAATTTAACTGTAGGGAATCTTGAGCCATTGTAAAACTGGAATTACATTAACCTGGACCTCAACCCTTCTGTAATTGTCTACGGTTTTATGTGACGTCCCCCCCCCCCCCAAAAAAAAATGCTGCAAGAGAGGAATAAGTTCCTGAACCAACTTCCTAAAAAGGCTTCCCTATCGGTTTCAATTGACACTATTTCCTGCACCTGAAAACTGTTTGGAAACTTTTTGAGTTTGATCACTTTTTTTTTTTACGAATAAATGATGTAAAGTGATGCGTAAGGGTTTATTTCTATGATGTTATACAGTTTGTGTGTGACTAAAATCAGGACTTGTTTAATAGTGGACACTAAGGAGTTGCAGGAGCATTTTTCATAGGAAAAGTACTTACTGAAGATGAATTAGTTTGGTAAAAATCTTACTCAAAGAAACCTTTATTCTGACAGGAAACAAACACTTAAGGAATATGATGTCATTTGTTGGTCTGGGGTTAAGCAGAATCTCAAATAATTGGATATTGCAGCAGAATTCTGGTTCGGTTGTGTATCAAACCTGAACACAGAAACAATATTTGTGGAAGGGATTAACGCCTTGTGGTGTTGGACATATCATTTAATCTTGTCATCGAAGAGAACAAATGTTTGCCAAGTTCTTGCCTTGTGAATTGATCAATATTGGTATACATTGCATGTTCATTAATTTAGTGATGACACACTCAACCTATAGATGCTTAATATATGCCAAACAAATGGGACAGCATATTTATTGGTTCATTAGGTCAACATTGCCTCAAATGAAACAATAGAAATATTGAGAGTTTTTCATGAGGAGATTTGAAAAAAAGGGAAAAAAGGATGATGATCTCAACTTCAATTTTAAAATTGTTTATTAAAATATAAAAACCAAGTAAAACATAACACAAGTTATTTTTGTTTGTAAGCAATTTGCTTTGTGATATTAAGAGGAATATCACAAATGTTAATTTACCTGTCAATGTTTTTTTTCCTCTTCAGATGTAAACAATTGAAGCTTCTACTTGTTTTAGTGGTTTTTTTTACATAAATGATGAAAAAAGACTGACTTTATTAAACTTACATGCTGAGTGTATAAAGAAGTTCGGAATAAGAAGTGATAATCAAGTCAAACCATCAAAATACAAATGGTCAAATAAAAATAAACACCAAAACAGGCCCATACCAGTCAGTGGCAATTTACATCGTAGTACATTTTTTTTCTTGGAAATGTGCTTTTGCTGAGCAAAGATTTTTCCGTTTTAAGCAATTGCTTCACGGCTTCATGAATTGAAGCATGTTCTCAATTATCGATTTATTGATAAATGCAAACCGATCATTTCTCCTTGCAATGTGTTTTTGATATAAAAAAACCTTGCAAAATTAAGATCAGTTGCAACTGATGACATTTTTTGTGTACTTAATATCCATAGTCATCAGGGTGTCAATCTGGGTGATATATCACATTCAAGATGAATGTTTTCTTCTGATGCCAAAAAAATGAAAATTTCTTCCCCCATGTTTCATGGTGTCCTATCCTCACCCAATTTTATGCAAGGGGCAGAGTCCCTTGAAAGTAGGAGAGCCCCTTTAAAATTCCCCTGCTTCCTTTATGTCTGGTATGTGGGCTCCATGTATGGTGAGCACCAATGGTATGGGCTGACATACACACGCACACAGCTGGTTGGCTAACACCTTATATGTACATGGCCCTACTCTCCATGCAAGACGGGGAGATTGCGCTGCTGGTTACAGTGCATCCAGTGAGGGATGGTGGGGGTGGGGGATGTAAATGCTTCCGCATTGGCTTCTTGGAGATGGGGAAGATTAGGGTTGTCCAAATAAATTCTGTGGCTCGTACTAGGTATCTTATTAGGATAATAAATTTGGGAAATTACTCATTGAAAGTGTATACAGTAGACCACCGCTAGTCAGCTACAACATTTGTTTGGTAACCGGCTTTCTTGGCTCAATTTGCAAACAAATTTTTTTTGATGTGCTAATAAAGTCCAATTATTTGAGTTACTGAATTGAAGCAATTAAAGTACAAACTTTTTTTCCTCTCAATATTTTATATTCTCAATTGCAGTTTTAATTTTTATTCTAAATTTTGAATACACAAATTCCACTTTGAGGGTATTCAGTCAGGGTTATTATTTCTCTCAAAATGATTTTATTTTGGGAAAAATCAACATTTTAAAATTAACTTTCTTGTACTGCTGTAATAAAGTATCTTGTAACAGTGCCAGTTGATGTGGCAAACTTAAATTGACTTACGAGGCACACATTTGGATATTTATCCATCTTTCTTTTTATGTTATAATACAAGTTTTGATCGATTTAGGAACAATTGAAACCCATTTAATATAAGAGTATTATAATGTCAACGATAGTTTTTCCTCAGACAGTTGATATTATACAAATAATGAGTGGCTCAGCGTGGAATGGGAGGAATATTATCGCAAGGTAAAATCTGGACTTTCCCATTTCATGAGGTGAAGCTGAGTGAACTGGAAAAGTCAAGATTTTACCGAGCCATAATATTACTCCCATTTCACAATTTAAAGTCACTTAATATTTGTTTTATATAACTGACATATAGATCCTTGTCATTTGATATATTTGAACTTTAATTTTAATACAAAACTGGAGGAAAATGTATTTCTCTCTTCCGAACCACTCCTTCACGAAAATGTTTGAACCCAACGCTGTAGCGCTGGCTCTTTGGAACAATACGCGCTACACGCAATGCTGAACGCGCACCGCCAGCATGCATTTGCACACAAATACCGCGTCATGATCCTAACTGTTCAATAGTATTTCCCATTCCCCATGGGCGGATAGTACTTTTTGAGCCGCGGCGTGAATGGGAGCAATAACGAATGTCACGTGATGTGAGTTCCACCAATCAAATGACAAGGATCTGTATGTCGGTTATATAAAAGCGACTGCTGATGTTATGAATAACGTTCGACCTTCGCTTCAACCATGCAGAGACTATTAAAAAAATGTTTGTGTTTTTCGTATGAAATGAAAGACATTCTTTTATTTTCCCCTGACACTTCCCGATTTGTTTTCCCCAGAATACAAGGAGATCTTCACTCTGTTTGACAAAGTCGGAGACCACAAAATCCCCAGCACCGACGTCGGAAATGTCTGCCGGTGCATTGGCTTCAATCCAACACTTGCAGAGATCAAGAAGTTGATAGGCAAAGCTGATGAATGTAAGATTTGTCGGGGGGGGGGGTCCGGTCAGGGATCGCTTGAGGGGGATGTAAAGGGATTTCATACCCACCAATGTTTAATTTCGTCAGGAAAACTGCTTATCTGTTTACCAGAATCGTGTATCTATTGGGATATTGCACTAAGAATAGCGCCACCTATTGTCCAGTAGTGTCCAGTCCTATTCACTTTGAACAGCGCCCCCTAAAGTCTGATGATCTCCAGTACTGCTGGGCAAATAACTTGATTACTCATGTACTGGCAAGTAGTTTATGCTACTCATTCTTCTCGTGGTTTTTCATCTACTCGAGTACTCGTCCTGGCATGAGTAGAAGCACTAACCATTAGTACTTGGACTACATATAAACTGTTTTAGATTGTGTTTATTCATTAAAGCATCAATAAAACCATAGCATACTGGGGCAGTTTTGGGCACCACAGAGAGTAACAGGCAGGGTAGTTTTGGGCACAACAGTGACTAAAGGGTTAACCCATTGTGTCCCTGAATTGCCCCAAAACTGCCCTGCGTGTTCACCCCTGTACCACCCAAAATCACCTCAGCACAGCCAAGGGCAGATCCAGGGGGGCCATGGTGTCCCTCCCCCCAAAAAACGAACAATTTTTTTTTATACGTGTAAGTACATCACAATAAAAGCAGGCACTGCGTACACCACCATATTTTCCTCCAAAAAATTTTTGGTCAAAGTGGTCATAAATTGCCTCAGATCGCACCACAGAGCATCTAGAATCCAAAAATGTTTGGATTTTTTGGACCCACTTTTTGGTGGACCAACTTCTTTTTTTGGCCCCCCCCCCCCAAAAAAATTGTGTTCTGGATCCGCCCTTGAGCACTGCACGGACTTGTTTGTGTGGATCCATCCATATCACTATGTAGCATATGTGCAAAATCGGTTACAATGTACTTTTTTTTCTGGTTCTTATATACAGATGACCGCTTCACATTTGAGGAGTTTCTGCCCATGTTGATAGCCGTTGCGAAAAGTAAAGACCAGGGAGTGTTTGAGGATTATCTGGAGGGTCTCAAGGTGTTTGACAAGGAGGCTAACGGACTGATCTCGGCTGCAGAGATGCGCCACGTTCTCACAGCACTCGGTAAGAACAATGCAACATTTCAAGCCCAAAAAGTCTGCTTTGGAACCATTTCCTGATTCTTTTTCATAAATAATAGTTGATATAAAAACCTGACGTGACTTCAGACCAGTGCCTAGGGGCCTTTTTTTTTAGGGGGCTGCTATAAAAGCATGAAATATTGTGTAGCAAAGTGTATAGACTTTATAGCAAAAATCGGCTGTCAATCAGTTAAAGTTCCAGTAAACAAATTTTACACTGGAGCATATGTTTGTAGCAAATATCAATTTCTCCGAAATGTATACAAAATATGTCTTTTTGGTGAATTTTTTTTTGCACAATACACTTTTTTTTTAACATTTAAAAATGTTTCATGCTTTTCCCGACAACTGAGGGCGCTGTTGCTGTGATGTCCTTTAGGAACACACTCTTCAGATTAGATTTGTTTCTCTTCAAATTGCAAACCCCACATTCAGTTTATTGAAAATATATGTGCATAAGGTTTCTCATTGTCTAACTGAAACAACAATGAACCACTGAAAGTGGAAAAATAACCACAGCAAACCCATAAATTCTGGTGACTTTTTATACTGAAGCAGATGTGAAACTGAACTCTTTGCCTTGAATTACATCACGGATTTGCTCATTAATATGGAAATTTGCATTAGCATAAAACCAAAAATGCACCAAAATGCCCTTGAAATGGCAATATGAAGATTAAAAATAAAGTTAAATTGAACATGAAGGTACATTTCGAGGATTGCATTTAAAAAAAATCCATTACAAGTGATCTGTCGGGTTTCTGTAACCATTATTTGAAAGAATAAGATATAAGAATGAATTTTTTTTCAAGTGAAGAAAACTATGAGTTAGTACTTCACTGGATCAGAAAACCTACAACTTCCAGATTACCACACTAGAACTCTGCCACTTTCTAGCTCTATATGTTGACAATTGGGTCATTCTATAAATTTGGGGTCCATTTTTTTCCCCGTCCCTGTTACATCTGACATCTATGATTGTATAATTCTGATGCACTCCTTAATGCAGTCATCATCCAAGAGTGATTATGAATAGCAAACTACCTACCCAACAAATAAACAATCATTTGAAGTCACTTTTAATGATGCTTGAATGGCAAATTACAAAGTACCAAGGTAAAATAAACAGGGACGGGAAAAATGTCACACTTTGGACCCCAAATTTATAGAATGACCCAATTTCCACCAATATTTAATGATGTTTTGACGATCTTTTTTTTATTTATTTGAAGGTGAGAAGCTGACTGATGATGAAATGGACATCTTGATGGCTGGCCATGAGAATGAGAAGGGAATGATTAACTATGAAGGTCAGTAGGTTTATTATTTGGGGAAAAAATAAACCTGTTGACGGTGCACTTGGTACTTGAATGTGCCAGGTTCGATTCCAGCCTGTGGCATTTGCCCAGAGCTTTGTCAGTTACCAACCCCCCCCCCCCAAAAAAAAACCCACCCAACTGTGATTTTTTTGAAATCTAGAAAAGTGCTTAAACTGTTGCCTTTCTCCTTTATAGGCTTTTGGAGTTTTGGATGAGACCTTTTGACTTATTTTTCTTGGGGGGGGGGGGGGGGTGAAGTTTCGGATTTTTGAAATTGGGACAATTTCCGGGACAACTCTTCTTTGATGCAAGTACACAAATGATATTTGTAAACTGTATTTGAATGAGTGCAAGTCAACATTAATATCAATTGAGTATGAGAACTGTCATGAATGCCAGATAAGTTATTTAAAATTCTAAATACATGTACAGGTAGCTTAATTTGAGGCTCCATCTGCCATATGTTGGGCAAAAATTCCTTATGTGCTTAAACATTATATTTAATCATATTTTGCACATTTCTCTTTGTCGTTATACAGAATGGATTAAGAGCATTATGGTAACCCTGGAGGGCTAGTAACAAGTCTACTCTCCACTCCCCTACCTGTCTGTTGGATTTTTAATGAGTGTCTCGAAAGATGTCTTCCAAAACCAAACAAGTCAAGTAACTGCTGATTGAAATTAATTTGGTCTTGGTTTAATCTTGTAAATAAAACTCATATTGAAAAAAAAAAAACACTTGAAAGCAGTTTCGGCAGCAGAAAGCGGAATCTTGTTCAATTATTTAATGCAGTGTTACTCAAGCCACGCCCACACGACCTCTGCTTAATTTGCATACAGGTCGTATGCAAATGTTTTGCTTGTCAATAGAAAACAATTGGACTGAATGGTTAAAATTCCATATTGATCAAGGAAGTCTTACCAAAAACTGCAATGCATTTAGACATTTAGCGCCAAAGGTTTTTGTACTTGAAACTTATATATGTGGGCTCGAATTCAGTCCAAAACTGTCCCATGGACGTGTACGATATGGCAGTGCTGAAAATTCAACACAGAATTTCAACGGTGTTGATTCACATACCGAGTTTGAAGCATGAAACTTTGGAGTTTAATACCCATCGGCAATAAGCAAATTAGAATTTAAATACACCACTGCTGATCATTTTATTGCCCGGTACAGATTACAGAAAGTTAATATGACATGTGCATTAATACACCTCTAATTTGCAAGATTAAATATGGATATGTAGTTACCGACATTCAAATCTTATCTTTGAAGAAGAAAAACAGAACTATATGGCACAGAATGGGTCAAAACTGTATCATAAGTTATGAAAATTCCAACAACATTTTCTCCATTAAAGACTAAACAGTTGATTAGTAGCGATTGGGTCACCTTGTGTATAGCAGATGTTTAATTTTCACCTATTACACTCCTTTTCATGTGAATATAGAACTATGTTTTAAAAAAAAATTCTGGTTAGATAATTATTTGAAATAGTTTAAAGGCTAGATTGTGCAATGGTAGCTACTGTAGTAAATTATATTTATTTATCTTTCGCTATCTCAAACTTGGGTAGCCTGTGTGTTCCATACTGTTGTCTTTTATTTATAAAATAAATGAGTGATAAAATTTAATATGTGACTTACCTAGGTCTTCAACTATGAACACAGATATCAGTGTTTTATTGCCATCTGTAATTCATTCTCAAAACTAGCTAATGTGCTTTTCTGTACAGCAACTTACTATGCAGAAGTGCTCAAAATGGAATACTCAAAAATTGTCTCATTTCATTAAAATAAAAATCAATCTGTTATTTTGACATCTCTTGCGAGAAAGTCTGTTTATTCATTTGTGCTGATGTTCTCTGCTGCTGGGTACTTCATTTACATAATATGCAAATATTTGACCTGCATAATTTATGCAGATATTTAGTTACCTAATTCATGCACGTGCGATATTTTTCAGATAAAAATTCTCAAACTAAAAATAATGCCTACTGTTGACTGCAAATGGCTTAATTGTACATCTCGAATAAACAACATCTTCAAAAAAAATCTATTTTCCATGAAAATATAATAAATTACTTATAGCCTCAGTTTTTCTCCAATCTTTGACAAACTCCTAGCCAAGATATTTCTGACATTGCTGATCACAGACCACAACACCGGTAAGTTTCTATTTGCTCTTTTCATCTACAAAGCCAGCACTTCAGTTTAAAGAATTATTAAATTTTAAACAATTGTTTATATTTACTTGCAGGACAAAAATATACAGTATGTTACATGTATGTATAGAAGGTGAATATTTAAATCTTTCCGTGTTCTCAATGGAATACTCTGTCATTTCATTGTTTTCAGCTGTGAATTATGAAGTTGTTTCTCTGGATACTCTGACAACTTGTCTGATTTCTTGAGCCTACAGGTATGGACCAATTTATAAACATTTTCAGACATAAAAGGTTATTAAAAAAATTATTTTGAGATCAAATCCCAATTGCATGGATGCTTAGCAGAAATACAACTTATAATTTCACTTAATGGGCTCCGTGCACAAGTACCCCTTCAACGGCCAGAAAAGGAGAGTTGGGGAGACCTAGACTGGTTTCCGGTCCATCCACTGCATATTTTGAATGATCCAATGTTATTGGGGGGGGGGGGATTAGTCTGGGAGACCAAGTAAACGTATTCGCGTGCCGACAACGCCCGACGCTCACGTGCAAAGATACAATGGCTTAACTTTGTGCTTATTCAGGATAAATAAGTTGTGCATGCTTTGCACACAAACCAGTACAGTACGCACACGCGGTGTCCCGTCCAAGGGGCTCTCAAATGTGGAAAAAATGTGCCCTCCTTTGGTGCACGGAGCCGATAGACAGCGCATGTTAAAAAAATAAAGATCAGGCATCCCATGTACAACCAAGGGCGGATCCAGAACACAATTTGGGGGGGGGGGGGGGGGCCCATAAAAAATTTGGATTCTAGATGCTCTGTGGTGCGATCTGAGGCAATTTCTGACCATTTTAACCAATGTTTTTTTTAAGAAAAAGATGGTGGTGTACTCATTGCCTGCCTTTATTGCGATGTCACATAAAAAAAAAAAATAATTGGTTTCGTTTTTTTTTTTGGGGGGGGGGGGGGGCCATGGGGGGGGGGGGGGCATTTTAGGGGCCCCCCTGGATCCGCCCTTGTGTAGAACTTGAGAAAGCCAGAGAGACATTTCTTGAAGATTCCAGACACTTACATCAGAGTACTTTGATTATTGAGTAAACCTGTAAGGTTTTTATTTGAAATCTGAAATTTTATAAAAATAAATAATTTTCACTTGCAGGATATCTCTCTATATATTTATACCCACCGACCCACCGCCCGACCGTCCGACCGACCATTGGTCATTTGTGACTTAATTGAGCTATTGCTATTGTGTAGAATTACCCCTCAACGGGCTAAGTCCTGCTCATTGTGTACACCAGTGAATTTTTATCCTTGTGGAGACATTTTTTGTTCTCGTGTAGTAACGTTTTTCGAGTTTGAAAGTGTAGTTTCAAAATGCTCTTATTTTAACCAGAATTAATTTCCTTGGCTGAAATTCGGACTTTCCTTGGCTGAAATTCGGACTTTTTCCCTTTTCTAAAACTCTTTCATTTGCGACAAATTAATCCACATACCTTGGAAATTCCTAGTTTTTGAGTAAAGTCCATATATCTATTTCATGATAACCTTGTGGAGACGTATTCATCTATAGAAATTGCCCTGTGGAGACGTATCTTTTGTTCCTTATTGTGTGCATGTCTCCAGAGGGCACAGTGTATCAGATCCAGTGAATAGACATTGTGAAACAATTGAAATAACTTCATGCTTTCTGGGACCAGCTTGCCTGGTCTTGTTAAGCCTTGTTTTACACTCTTTGATATATCAGTACACACTCTGTACAAATCACTGCTAACTTATTGTCTGGAGTATAAGTGATGTCACAAGGTCCAGAATCCCATGTGATGCTGAATGATTTGATGAAATTGCCCTTCATGTTGTATTTGTGGATTTCTGGACAACTTTGTGCCAGTTCGTGAACCATTAAAATATAAATATCACCAACTTTGTCACAACACACCCCACGGGGTGTAAAGTTTTCTTTAAGTTCAACTACGAATCTCTTGTTTCCCTGAAAATCAACACTTGCTAAGAGATTTTTCTCCCTGTTGGTGTAGGTGAACTGCTTGTTGCTGATGGTGAAATGCTTGTCTATCTTTGGAGCTTCAAGTGAATTGATATAGTATCCATCTGAAGGCCTGAATAATTTTACACATTCTTGTCCGGTTTTATAAGCCAGTGCTATCAGGTTGTCGTCATCTACCGCAAGACCTGTTGGAAAGGCATGGTAATATTGTGTTTTGAATTGGTGTAAGAGCTGAAAGTCTTTGCTGAAAAACTCAACTGCATGTTGTGTTAGTAGAATAAGATGGTCATCTTTATTTACTGCCATAGCAACAAAGTCTTCTACAGTGTTTCTACTTAGGACATATAAGACTTCACCATTTGGACTGAGTTTAGTTATTGACCTTGAGTTGTTGTCTGCTACCACCATATCACCTGTGGAGAAGGCTGCAATGAAGTTCCCGGTGACTTGTGATATTTCGGTCGCCAATGCCCATTTCTCTTCTGTCAACAGTTTCCCAAGACTAACGGATTCACGATTCTCCTTCAAGCTGAGGAATGAGATGTCATGAGTTACATCTTCACTTTGCTCCTCAACTACGTCTCTGTAGTCATGCAAGAGGTCTTGTCTAAGTTTCAAAAGTTCAAGTTTATTTGCCTTTGTCGTCTCACTGCCAACCATTTTCTTTGCCTGCTCTGCAAACTCCATTTCTGCCAGTCTCTTGTCTTTTCTTCTGTACGTTGCCAAAGCATTTATCCTCAATTGCTTTTCTTCGCGTCTGATTTGTCCAAGTTTCTCCTGCACAATTTTTGATATCTGACTGTTTGTCTCAGCTAACTTGGCTGTCAGTTTCTGGCGCACAGTTTGGCAGCTTCTGGCAATTTTGACAGATGTCTTTGTCTTGTAATTCAAATTCCCTTTATGAGCATCTTCCATGCACATGTCAAAAGCTGTGTCTAAATCAAAAAAGCAATGTGTGTTTTCATTGTGGTTTGTAGCCACACATTGTTTGCAGATGAGTTTCTCACAAGTATTGCAGTAGAGGGACAGTTCACGATTTGTATGAATTTCACAGTCTGATTTCTTTGAGGCTTTGGGGTGTTTTGCTTCTGAAAGAGGTGTTATTTTGTGACTTTTCATTGCGTTGAAACGTTGATGAGCTTTCTGACAATCCTGACAGAGAAGCAGCTCACAGTCTGCACAGTGAGAAATTGCTTCATTTTCTTCATCACATGCTTGACATATGACCTTTGACACTTCACCTTTCAAGAGCTGTTCCTGTTTGGTGACTTCCTCCACCAAGGAAATGAGACCGTAGTTGGTGGTCAACTTTGCCACTCCACCTTCAGGTAAGATGGTTTCCCTCTGACACAGTGGACATCTTATCTTGTCATCTTTTGGTTTTTGGCTTTTTTTGAGTTCTTGGAGGCATCTCAGACAGAAACTGTGTGAGCAGTCCAGCATCTTGGGTTCTTGGTAACGGGTGTGGCAGATGGAGCATTCCAGATGACCCTGGATGATCGAACCCAAAATTGACTCTGCTGTGATACCACCAGTCGCCATCTTGATCCTACAGATTCAAAGAGTATTAAAAATTGAATATGCATAGGTCTACATTTTACCAGGGATTTCAGAACTAAATGTTTTCCTCGTTTTAGTAGCAACAAACTGCAGCACTCCACTCACCTGTTCACCAATGCAAACAGACTTTATTAAAAGTCTTTCCCAATTTATGTTTTATGCTTTTACGGTGGTTGGATGAAAAAGGTGCTATCACTCTACCCGGCACTAGTATACTGTATATGTATGAGGTTTTTGTCTGGTCCGTTTTGTGCTTCACAGACTTGTAGGTGTGGCTTTGAACTTTGAGATTTGGATTATCTGTAGTCACGTGCATCTGTAGTCAATGTGCTCATCTGTATTTCATAGATTTTGCGTGTTATTGCAAAATTGTTTGCACGGCAAAATAAAGTGGACTTTGTGCTTTATTCTGGTGACTTTTGCTGCTGATGAGTTGAAAGGGCTTTATTGTATGCCTACGTAATAATTAAAGGGAAAATACAACATTTGCAAACATCAAAAAATACAACTACCAAATCATTTTGAAATACCTTGCTGGACTGTTGGTGAATGACAGTGTAAAGCATCCTGTAAAATCATGGCACCTGGTATACTGTCATTTTCAAGAAAAGTGGTATTTTTGTATCAATATCCAACGCTGATCGGCCGATCAGCGTTGGAAAAAACTGGCTTTTTTACAAATCCTGGCCCCAGTTGACCATCGCACTTGTTTGCAATCGATTACACACCTATGAACGGGTACAAGCCAGCTAGACTGGTTCCCTGACCTTACAATTCCCCAATATATGTAAACTGCTCTGTTTCTTCTTAAATGGAGTCAGGGAACCAGACTACAGGAAAATGATTGTTTTTCTTGGTTTTTATAGCATTTTCGAACCCAAAACCTCAAAAAAGTCAGTGTAACTATATTTGCTATATATTTCCAACCCCCAAGTCCATCCTATTTTTGAAAATTACTGCAAAAGCAAATGATGTAGGCCCTATATTCCCTTTAATAATAAAAATAACTCCATGGGCAATTTTTTTTCCACATTATTTCTTGTACTGGTGATAAACTGGACTTTAGACGATTGCTGCTGGTGTACCCCAATAAAAATAAAGGAACTGACATGGTTTATTTTCTAACCTTTTTTTTTACATTTAACAAACATTATTGAACAAGATTGGTTCGGGCTGTATGAAACTGCTCAAGAAATCACTGTGTTTGGCAACTGAGCAAAGATGTCTATTTTGCATAAAATGATGAAGTTCTTGTCCAAAAAGTGGTTGGGCATTCAATCCACATTTTTATGAACACTATCTTATATGGATGTAAATAAGGTTCTATTTATTTGCAGAGTTATATAGTGTTTCCTTAAACCAACTGTTGATCAGGTGATTGAAATATCTCAAATGTGTAATTCCAAGTCCAGTAAAAAATAAATGCCCAAGATTTTCGAAAAGAAAATACATGACAAATTTCAAGGCTATAGCCTTATATTTTTATTAAAATTTTGGCAAAAATTATCTAATCGTAAAATGACCCCAATGATAAGGAACACAACACAGATAAATAAATTCAACACTTTACATTCTTGCTATTACTAGGCATTACAATTTTATTTCTTTCACATTGGACTTGGCAAGACTGTAATGAAGTTTTCTGTGTATTATATTCCCGAAAAGTGGAAAGGCTGAAACTTTGCTCTTTATTAAATTTTTCCGAAATTGCGGACAATAAATACCTCACAATTGTTGAAATGGCCAATTTCAAGTATTTAACATAGTGGTTACATCACATTCATAAATTAGTGTTTTTCAGAATTTATGATGAATAAAATGAGGTTTTTCGTCATCAATTTTTTTCTCATTCACAAAATTCCATGGCAATCACAGTTGAACTGAATTCAGGAATTGAAGTGACTAAATTCACGTCTACTCTAATAAATTGTTGTTGACTCATAAATATTGAGTACAGCGGAGTTAGAACTTCTAACATTGGGCTATTTAATGGCTGCTTAGTCGCCACTATCAATCTTTCCGCTCTCCGTCTGAATGCAGACAACATCATTATGTTATGGGTGTGCTTTATTTATTGCCATGTAACCAAGACAAACTGGTAAATTATTTGGCAGCATTATCAAAAAGAAATTGGATTGATTGAAATTCTTTTTTTTAACATCACCAATGTACAAAACAAGTTATAGACAACTTTTCAGGTGCGATTGGAATTTGAAAAGAAAAATTTAATTTCACTTTGAATATGCCACTGACATACCTTTCTTTCACTTGAAAGAAATATGGGAACAAAATAACAGAACAGCCATAATGGCAATGAATAGGTTATGAGCAAAAAAGGCTGGCTTCCAGAGTTTATTCATATTTAAAACTATTTGAACTAATTTCAGGAAAGGAATTTTTTCCCCTATAAACTACTTTCATTATAGATTTTTTTTTAAAGTAATTGCTACTTAATACTTCTTAAATGTACACAGCTTTCTTTTTTCAATGCAACAAAAAAATGTGGGACTGTAATTTTCCAGATATTTACTATTGTTTTCTCCATGACTTTCTAATAACTTTTGCAAATTCGGTTATTCCTGTGGGAATCCCACAATGTGAGTTTCATATACTGTTGTCTTTATTGATAAATGAGTGATAAAACTAGGTCTTCAACTATAAACACAGATATTGCTGTTTTATTGCGATCTGTAATCCATTCTTAAAACTAGCTAGTGTACTTTTCTGTACAACAACTTAATATGCAAAAGTGCTCAAAATGGAATACTAAAAATTGTTTCATTTCATTAAAAAAATCAATGTTATTTTGACATCTCTGTGAGAAAATCTGCTTACTCATTTATGTTGATATTCTCTGCTGCAATATAGTCATTTGCATAATATATGCACATATTTGACCAATTTAATATTTGCAGATCTTTAGTGACTGAATTTATGCACGTCACAATAAAATACTACGTTCACTTTTTCAACTACACATGACCGACATCATTACAAAATCAATTTTTCATTTCAAAAAATAGTAATTAGTCTCCAATTTTCTCCACTTCTTAGGCAAAGCCCTAGCCTTGACATCTCTAGCATTGCTGATCACAGACGACAACACTCTGGTAAGTTTTGATTTGCAGTTCTCATCTACAAAGCAGCTCTTCAGTTTACAAAATTACAATCTTATTGTTTGTTAAGAATCATTTAATTTCAAACAGTTTAAACATTTGTTTATATTTACTTGTAGGACAAAAAGTGTTATACAATATACAGTATATTACATGTATGTATAGATGGTGAATATTATTTAAATCTTTCCGTGTTCTCAATGGAATACTCTGACGTTTCATTGTTTTCAGTAGTGACATATGAAGATGTTTCTCTGGATACTCTGACAACTTGACTGATTTCTTGAGCCTACAGGTATGGACCAATTTATAAACATTTTCAGACAGAAATGGCAAGCTTGGAATTTGTATGCACAAAAATCCCAATTTCATGAGGGCTGAGCAGAAATAAGCTATTAATTTCACTTATATTGACAGGGCATGTCAGTGTTGTATTCGAGTCCATCCCAAGTCCTTTCATAAGTCCAGTCACGAGTAACTGGATGAACAATGACAATGGAATGCTTATGTTACAGTTCATTTCAATAGCTAGTAACTTGACTTGAGACTGAAGGACTTGTGATGGACTTGTGATGGCCTTGTGATGGCCTTGTGATGGACTTGTGATGGACTTGTGATGGACTAGTGATGGACTAGTGATGGACTTGAGATGGACTTGTGATGGACTTGTGATGGACTTGTGATGGACTTGCAGGGACTCAAATATACAACAATTGGCCATATGTTACAACAGATCAAAATCAGGCATCCCGTGTACATCTTGAGAAAGCCGGAGAGATATCTTAAAGATTGCAGACACTTTTGAGCAAACTTTGATTATTGAGTAAACCTGTAAGGGTTTTATTTGAAATCTTAAGTATAATGTGATGCTGAATGATTTGATGAAGTTGTCATTTACACTGTAGTAAACCAGGGGGCGCGGCCAAAGGGCCCAGCTTTGGGACCTATGTCATGTATGTACTCCTTGTTCAGGATCATAAAATTAAAATCACTTTTGTCATTACACAGGACAGTGAGCTCATCATCCTTGTTGACTGCAATATTGATGATAATCTGATTTTAAGCAGGCATTACTAAGAATCTCACAGTAAGGACTGATTCTGATTAATTTGTTGTCGGTTGTTTTTGCAATCACCATGTCACTTGTGGAGAAGTCTGTAATGAAGTCCCCTGTGATTTCTGATTTGCTTAGCAATGCCCACTTTTCTTTTTTGCCGAATGGAGCCGAGTTTAACCTGTTCCTTGTTCTCTTTGAAACTAATGAACGAGAGATCTCGACTTAAATCTTCCGTTTCACCCCCATTTACATCTTTCAAGTCATGGAGGAGGTCTTGCCTGAACTTCAAGATTTCACGACAATTTGCATCAGTCATCTCTTTGTGAACGTCAGCCATCTGTACTGTGTGCTCTGCGACCTCCATTTCGGCAAGTCTCTTGTATTTCTTTCTGTACGCAACTTGGGCCTTATGTTTGAGTTGCTTCTCTTTGTGTTTGATTTCCTTGATTTTCTGTTCAGCTGTTTTAGAAATGAGAGAGTTTGTTTCCCCAAACATTACGCCCAGTGTTTTCCGCAATGATTGCCAACTCCCGGAGATTTTGTTATAGGCCTTAACGCTCAGCGCTTGTGAGATTCTTTCATTAGCTTCTATCAGGCATGTGTCAATGGCTGTGTTCAAGTCAACGTACATGTGGATGGGTTCCTTGTGACTTGATGCTGCACACTGTCTGCAAATCAGCATCTCGCAAGTATTGCAGTAGAAGCAAAGTTCCTTAGTTGGATGGATTTTACACTGGGAGACATCTTTCTTAGGGGCAGATTCTCCTTCGATCTCATCAACAGGTACAATGTTGTGGGTCTTAAAAGCAGCGAAACGCTGATGTGCTGTTTGGCACTGCTGACAAAGAAAACACTCACAATCCATGCACCGAGAAACAGCTTCATTCTTCTCATCACATGTTTGACATATGACCTTTGGCATTTGGCCTTTTAGGTGCTCATGTTGGGTGACTTCTTCCACCAGGCAAATGAGACCGTAGTTGGTGGTCAACTTTGCCACTTTACCTGCAGGTAAGATGGTTTCACTCTGACACAGTGGACATCTTATCTTGTCGTCTGTTCTTTTTTGGCTTTTTTGGAGTTCTTGGAGGCATGTCAGACAGAAACTGTGTGAGCACTCCAGCATCTTGGGTTCGTGGTAACGGTTGTGGCAGATGCAGCATTCCAGATGACCCTGGAGGATTGAACCCAAACCTGACTCTGCAGTTATACCACCAGTCGCCATCTTGATCCTACAGATTCAAAGAGTATTAAAATTGAATATGCATAGGTCTACATTTTACCAGGGATTTCAGAATGAAATGTTTTCCACATTTTAGTAGCAACAAACTGCATCATACCACTCACCTGTTCACCAATGCAAACAGACTTTATTTAAACTCTTTCCCAAAATTAGAGGGTTTCGGTTGCAGTTTCGGTTGCTTTTACGGTGGTTAGATGAAAAAGGTGCTATCAGTCTACCCGGCACTAATATACTGTACATGTATGTGGTTTTCGTCTGGTATGTTTTGTGCATCACAGACTAGGTGTGGTTTTAAACTTTGAGATTTGGAACATCTGTCATGTCTGTAGTCATGTGCTTATCTGTATTTCATAGATTTTACGTGTTATTGCAAAATTGTTTGCACGGCAAAGGAAGGTGGACTTTAGTCTTTATTCTGATAAATTTTGCTCCCGATGGAGTTGAAAGGGCTTTATTGTGTGCCTACATAATAATTAATTATAAAAATAACTCCATGGGCAATTTTTTTTTCCACATTATTTCTTGTACTGGTGATAAACTGGATTTTAGACGATTGATGCTGGTATTCCCCAATAAAAATGGGGAAACCGACAAGATTCTTTTTCTAACCCTTTTAAAAAAATTAAGCAACATTTTTTAACTAAGATTGGTTTAGGTTGTATGAAACTGATCAAGGTAAGTTTAATCACTGTGTTTTGGCAACTGAGCAAAGATTTATATTTTTCTTGAAATGAATTTTTTTTTTCCAGAAAGTGAGTGGGCAGTCAATCCAAATTTTTTTATGAAAAACACAATATCTTATATGGATGTAAATAAGGTTCTATTTTTTTGCAGAGTTCAATTATTTTTTGGGTGATGTTTTAATATATAGTGTTACCTTAAACCAATTGTTGATCAAGTGATTGAAATATCTCAAATGTATAATACCAAGTCCAGTTTAAAAAAAAAAAAAACATTTTCGAAAACAAAATGCATGAAAAATTTCAAGGCTATAGCCTTATTTTTTTTATTCAAATTTTGGCAACAAATTATGTATTCGTAAAATGACCTTTAATAATAAGGAACACAACACATGGAAATAAATTAAACACATTGCATTTTTGGAATTGTTTAGCATTAGAATTTTATTTCTTTCATATTGCACTTGGCAAGACTGTAATAAAGGTTTCTGTTTACTATATTCCTGAAAAGTGCAAAGGCTGAAACTTTTTTTTTTGTTTATTAAATTTTTCCGAAATTGCGGCCAATAAATACCTCAAAATTGTTTAAATGGCCAATTCCAAGTATTCAACTTGGTTATATCACATTCATAAACTATGTGTATATTATTATATCATAACTTTGTACGCATTAGCATGTTTAGCATTAGAATTTTATTTCTTTCATATTGCACTTGGCAAGACTGTAATAAAGGTTTCTGTTTACTATATTCCTGAAAAGTGCAAAGGCTGAAACTTTTTTTTTTGTTTATTAAATTTTTCCGAAATTGCGGCCACTAAATACCTCAAAATTGTTTAAATGGCCAATTCCAAGTATTCAACTTGGTTATATCACATTCATAAACTATGTGTATATTATTATATCATAAGTTTGTACGCATCTTAAGATATTTCAAGATGTTAAAATTAAAACAAGGCCTAATGTTTTCATTAAGTGTTACAAGTTAAGTACATGTATATCTTTTCTAGTTGAATCATGGAAGAACCAAATTTTCGACAAAGAATTTTGTAAGGCTATAGCCCTGTATCTTTTGACGATAAATAATATTCTAATAATAAACTTCATTGTGTTACACAAAACACTAACATTGCACATACTCTGAAGATACATGTTAATCTGTTATATTTACTGGAATGAAAAAAATAAAATAACTGAAATTATAAAAATATCAAATTAATTACATCTTTGTAATTGTAGTCATGTCTAATATACATGTAAGTACTCCGTAGTTATTTCCACAGCGTCTTACCGTACATGCCAAAATATTTTAAGTTTGCAAGTTAGCAATATGTCCCGTGGATAAAGTTCTAGACCTACAATTAAATGTTACAGAAAGCCACTTATAAAGCATCTTTTTAGGTCTTTAGAAAGAGAAATGTGATCATATCACACAACCTTTTTGAAAAAATAGGAAATGGAGTATATAACTAGCACTAACGCAATTCATAAAAAAGTTACGCCACTAACTAGTTCAAGCAGGAGATTTGCATGCAGAAGTTATAGTTTCCATGAAACATTCTTCACAGCAGGATATTGTCAAGATCTTTACAACTTAAACATATGTTATTACACATATTTTACAGATGTTTGCATTAAAAATGCCAAAATGATTATCACAAAAGGAAAACCTGATATTAAAGACAAGTGTTTGTAAGTTCTGAGTAATATTGCTTGTGAAAATGAATCAAACTAAAATTGCACACAATTCATTTGGGTAAGGCCTCGGAAACAGAAGAGAAGGCATATATGTACCAAATCAGCGCAGCTGTTTACATTTCTCTTATTTAACTAGTAAGTCTTTTCTGTTCATCAGTAGAGGGCAGACCAATAGTGACCAATATTGACCAGAGTCGCTAGACCAATATACGGGAAGCCAATAGTGGACCCTATAGGTTGCAGACCAGTAAATAGAATGCCATTGACCTCAGTTATAATTGCGCGCTCTTCCCAAAATTATTTTTAAAATACTCGCAACTCTCCAAGATGTTTGAGACACAAGAAAGAATGAAGTATCCAGACGCCACTTATTTGGTTGTGTACAAAGTCTATGGAGAGTTGAGTGCATTTTCAAGTATTTTCTAACAAAATTGGAAATGTTTCTCAGTCCCAGATTCATGTCTTTTCAAAAAAATCATCATATATTATCTCAATGAATGACCTACATTGAGATAATATATGATGAAAAAAGTGGCGTCAAGTTGCAACATTCTTCTCGAGATACACATCAAGTTAAAGCTTATTTCATCATCTTTCGTTTTCTGTGCAACTGTTTTGTGGTAAACCGATGACTTTTGGGAGAAAATGCCATCCAAAGATAGTCACCCTTCAAAGTAGTCCTGAAGCCAATCGCCATTTTGAAAATGGACACCTACGCTGACATTACAAAATAGAGCCCTTATAGGGCCTAATTCCATCCAAATTTCACAGAAATACGAGCTCACAGTCCTCCGCACGGCTTCCACCCTTCTTTTTTTTAACAAACCCTCAAGTTCAAGGACCTCAAAATGCTCTTACATCGGATAATTCAAGGGCAAGCAAAGCATGATTTGGCCGGCGTAGGCAATTTTGGGCTTATCTACTGGCCTGCATCCAGTAATGTGCGTGGGTGGACTCCGTGTACAAGCACCCCCTCAATGTTTACAAAGAGAAAGGGTTTTGCTGGACTCTTGAATGCATTGCTGGTGTAGGCCTGGCACTCGCGCACAGACAGTGCAATTTTGCACACAATCACTTAACCCTCTTATTGTTTAAACAGTCACTGCCATGTCAAAAAGAGTCGGCTCATATTTCAAGCAAGCACTCTGACTAGTCAATTTCAGTCAACAGGCAAAAGCAGGAAACTAGCAGCGCAGCTGACCTCCAGTCAAAGCACAGCTATATCGAGCTACATAAACAGTCACAGCCAGTCAGTCCTGCTTTGTGTAGGCTTGGAGCTCTTAACTGTTGAAAACAGTCACTTGATTGATTTTAACTGACAGCACTACTTGGCACTGAATGTATACATGTTTGCATAGGAGGGTTAATCTTGAATGCGTTGCATGCACTGTTATCTTGCACTCCCAGTTCTCACAAGTAGTCACAGAGCGCCACCTATGTTCACGCAAGGAGTCCATTAAGCAGCATTCATTAACGGTACCCTGATGTTACGGTCGAATCAACCGGCACGATATATATACGTCTCACATGAATACAAAAATTGGCATCTTCATGGATTCCGTCATAAGATTTTGTCCATGGCTGCAGTCAGCTTGAGGATGTCCACCAGGTGTTGGATGCAGAGGTCCTGCCTCAGGGATGTGTAGAAGAAATCTGGAGCTTCTTGTCGTAAGGTGTGAAGCTGGGCCAGTAAGGAGCCGTCAAAGTCCTTAAGTGATTTCCTTAAGCTGCAAACCAAAAAAAAGAGATCATTCATAAATATCTAAAACAGTTTAGCCATTCGTATTGGTCGAGAATCCGTCACATGGCCGGTTTTAAGCGGATTATAAAGACCGGCTGGCTTGTCTTAAACACTTTTCCAGCATCTTATGAAGTTTTGACTCCTGTGAAAACTGGTGCCTTTTACCTTTTTATTGGTTGAACGTTCACAATCCTCACGGACCTAGGCATGCGCAATACTACTAGTGAGTCGGCATTTCATAGTTCTAAATTCACAACACACCAGCACAGCTGCGTTCTGCACCACATCGGCCCGGGTAATTATCAGCATCCAGACCGGTCTTAAACATAGTGTTTAAAACTGGCCAAGCACATATTCATTCCCTTACTAATAACTTAAATATATACTGTCCATGCTCTAAAAAAAACTATACCCCTCGAGCCTCTGGGCTGAGGGGTAAAAATTTCCGCAAAACAAATTTTGGTCTTGACGTGCTTTATTTCAATGTTAAATCCTTTTTATGTGCACATGTAAAGTCGAGGACACGTATGTGAAACATCCTTTTCTAATAGAGGACAGGAACCAAATCGAGGACGTCCTCGATTGGAAAACATGTACAAAACCAATGGAAGCTGTTGCAAAATGGGGGTGGGAATTTTAATGGGGGGGGGGGGGAACTACCCTACTCTGCGAGTGCTATTGGTGGAAAAGGGGTGGGTCAATATTGATAATAATGTGTGGTCTCGTACCTAAATAATAATTATGATGGGCATATGATAAACTGCAGGATAGTAAAAGAAGGATTTTGATTTAAAAACTTCAAAACTCGCCTCTTCAAGGCAAACCATTGGTTGCGCAATGTATTAATTGTCCTATTCATTTAGCATTTCTTAGTCTAATAATATAATATTCAAATAATATCAAAAAATTAATTATCGATAACAAACTTATTCTTACTGGGATAAGTTAGCGTGTTCAAGCCATTGTTGGACGTTCTCTTTACTCCACTCTCTGACGTGAGCGGGCTGGGTCGGGCTGGGGGACTCCGGTAACGGGCTAGGCATCTGGTGTCTCGGCGTCGATACGTGACGACGTGGACTAGACGTACTCTGACGAGGACTCTGTAAAGTCTGGGGTCTGGGGCTAACGGTGTGGTTCCGTGGGTTGTTCAGCATCGTCGTTGAGGCGTCCTCAAACTCAAAGACGGGCTCTGTACGTTCAAAGGTAAAGTAAATGTTAAAATCACAGGAATAGGGAATGTTGGATCAAATTTGAAGATCTGCAACCAGGCAGAGATTAGTGAAGGAAATTGAAAAAATTTCATATCATTAAATATGTTATTTTTAATTATATCAAAATCTTTCCATGTACAAAAGTCGGTGTTTTCTTCAAGGGGGTACACTTGACTGAACAGTGTAAGTACAGAATTTTTCTGCTAGCGCAGTTGGCAAAGAATGGTGATCATTAGCGCAAAATTCTGTGCTTAGCAGAGATATTGGCCCCAGGTCTAACGCTCTTTCCAAATGCAACTCGCCTTCGAGTAACGCCGCACTGCCAATGTCGGAGATCTCCCGCAGTAGCTTCTGAGCCTGGTCAGAGAAGGAATGCCGTCCTGACAGATCCACGTAGTATTTGGTGCCCATGATCATCCCCAGCCAACCGTTGGGTTGGTAATACTTGTCCATCATCAGGGGTATGATGGATTTACGACACTGGTAGGCGTATTCAGCCTCTGGCAAAAAGAAACGAAAAAAAGTTAAATGTATATACAATTAATTTCATTCTTAATATGCGCAATCCATAGAGCTTTATTAAATTACTAGAGTGCTGACTCATGTACAAAGTGATGCCTGCTGGGCGCATCCATGTTTGTGCACAAACCTATGGAAAACTCAAAATTTTGTACGGCTTTTGTACGGCTATTTGCATATCTGCATTTGTACTGGTATGCTATACAGGTTCGTTACCGAAAACCGAAACGCACAATCAGCAAATGAGCATTTCATTTTGCTCTATGCAAACAGCGCGTCTCCGCTGCAGATGATTACCGTGACGTTTTTTTTAAACCGTTGTGATACGCTTCAGTTGTTAGCGTACGTTCTACTTGCGCGTTGCATTTAGAGTACACTTTCAAAATTCATTCCATCCAATTTCAGTATGTTGTACAAACACGCACATGAATTCAAAATGTCAGCGCGCAGGACGGCTTCAAAGCTTCTCCGCGCGCAAGAATGAGGAGTTAGCGCTCTAGTCATTTAATATAGCTCTATGGCACAATCCCACACAGTGTTTTGCTTGAGCATCAAGTGTGTCCAATTGTCTCACACTGGTCTCCCCCAACTTTCCCTTTGTTAACTGATATGCAGATACTGGTGCACGGAGCCTATACGTGAGACAACATGACAATTCTGTCTATACCCACCTGTCCGACAATTGGGGCTTTCCTTGTAGCGTTCCGATATGCACACTAGGATAACCTCTGCGTTCTCCACTGCCTCTGCCATGGACTGGAGCGTGGATCCATACATGCAGTCAACATCCACCCAGACACGATACCCTGCAGTCTGAAACACGATGAATGGGAAAAAGCCATTTTGTTACTTGGGCTCTGAGGATATTCTTAGTTTCCACATCATTGAGCGCAATAGATAGTTTTGATATTATAGCAAATTTCAGTACAATTTATGTGTGGCCTAGTGGTTAGGGTTCGTGACTCATGATCAGAGGGTCCGGGGTTCGAATCCAGCCGCTGGTCATATATTGTGTCCTTGGGCAAGGCACTTCACCCCCACTTGCCCCTCTCCACCCAGGAGTATAAATGGGTACCGGCATTAGCTGGGGAGTAACCTGCGATGGACTAGCATCCCATCCAGGGGGAGTACAAATATTCTCAGTCGTTTCATGCTACTGAAACCGGAGATAAACGCCGGCCTGATGGGCCACAGTGGCTCGGGACAGACTTAATTTACTATACCATTTTGTTTTAGCTCCGGGATAGCAGCTTATTTAATCATCATGTCTCTCTGTTTATTTAGTAAGTAACAAACGTTGACATTGTCTATTGCTCCTACGCATTTTGACCGATTTCAACCAAACTTTGTCAAAAGTATCAGTAGCCCGGCCCCAACATGTCACATGACCAAACTGGGGTCAAAGGTCATCATGGTGTCACTGGGGCCAATAACTTGATTATTGTTTTACTCAAAACGCTACTCCTTCCAGAAATTACATAGCACAGTCACGTGACTCATGCATGAACAAGAATTCTACCTATGCCTGAATGGACCATGATATAAGGATATTTTCAAGGAGAAATACACGCTTTGCCTCCTTTTCTGAACTGTCTACTTCATTTAAAGTTCATTCAAGTAATATCATTGAAACCTTGGAGTAAAAATGAGCTATAAAACAAGACTAATTCTACAATTTCTAGACTTGCAGCAGCCTGTTATGGCCAATATGCCCCTTCCATTTCAGTAATCATAGATCTTGCCCTGAATTCTGATACATCAATCTGCAATTTGAAATTACGTTAACAGTTTTGTTCGCCATGCCTGGGCACTCATCACATGCATGCGATGGGTGCCCAACAAAACTGTTACCGTTCTGTAAGGCTCCGACATGCGTCAGAGTGAGTGCATTGTGAGAAATACCAGTGCGAGCTTTGGAATGTCCCAGTAATGGTAGAAAGCCAATGCAGTAATCACGAAAAGCAAGCAACTCGGAATCCTAATCCTATGATTATAAAGAGTCTCTCCTTACCACAAGCAGGTCCCGGACTTTGAGCACCACCTTCTGCGCTGCCCACTGGTAGCTGAGCATGATGTGAGGTAACTGGCCGCTCCCGGTGCTACTACCTCGGGACCAACTCCGACTAGGTCCTCCTGGGGGGACAGAGGAAAACCGTAGGAAACACAGTCATGACAAAAGTTGGGCGTGAACGTCTGAACCGTCCAATGGACTCTGTGCTACTCTGTGAGGTAAAATGCGGGTCCCCGGGTACTCATAAAGAAACCCAACAACAATATTCAAATCCTGGAAGTTGTCTGAATGGCTTCATAGATTAAGAGTGTAATCTGCAACTTTCGAGAGCGTCATCTGTCGCGCCTTGAAATGCACATAAACATAAAATCTGTTTTGGTTTTTCCATGTAGTCTGGTTTTCATTTTGTAAATTCCCACAATTGGCATTCAAAACCTTTCTTTTTCATAAAGTGAGAAGTTACTAAGTAATTTGTAAAGATAGTTACGAGTACCTGATCCCATAGTCTGGAACTGGATTCTGACATCAGCGGTCAGGTACTCGGGTACCTGGTTTCGATGCACACGCCTGCCTTAAATACTCAATCAACGAGCAAACAACCACGAGCATATTCTTGACAACCTAACTATTCTTCATTAGGTAAGTATTAATAGCTCAGCCCTCATTTCCTCAGTCCATTCTTCAAAACCTTCTGGCAGATTTTGAAGGATCCACGGAGGTTAAGATTTGCGCCTTCCAATCATTCCCAGTGTTTGGTACTCACTGCTTGACCCTCCGGATGTCGAAGAGCTTGCCACCGATGAGCTTGCCACCGATGTCCTAGTGCTACGGCTCTGCTTCTGCCCGACCCACAGTGCCCCCTTGGCTGCCGTCCGTATCGACTGCTCCTTGCTGTGGGTTAGTTTCTCTAAGGCCTCCACGCAGGCCTTGTCCACGGCCAGGTGTTGACGGACCGTGCTGTCGAAGGCCAGGTTCCAGATGGCCTGGGTTGCTGCCTCTTGTTCCTCGAGGAGACCGTCTTGTTGCAGCATGGAGGTGAGGAGGGGCAAGGCACCGGCTTGTAGAATCTGAAACGGTGGATTGGTGAATGGCGAGCAGTGTTTCAGTGCGAGTATGGAATGGACCGATCCACTTAGCCCGGGCCACTCTGACCAATCACAGCCATGATTTATGCATGCACAAAAGTCTGACGTGTGCAATTGCGTATGCTACGCGCATCTGGAACATGCTGTGTGGAATTTGTGTCGTTGTGTTATTTCCCCACATGTGCACTGCGCAGGGGGGCGGCTTAAAGAGACTGAAAGGAATTTTACTTATTCTGTGCAACTTTCTACTCCTCTTAAATGTATGAAAACTATTTGACATTCCTTTTTTTGGTGAATTTTATTGAAAGGTGCACTTCTTTAAAACATTACAAATGTTTGCATGCTTTTCCCGACAACTGGAGGTGCTGTTGCTGTGATGTCATTTTTAGGCAAACACTTTTTCAGTTTAGGGGTTTCTGTTCAAATTTTGAAAAACAAACATTTGCTAATTGAAAACAGCTATGAGAAAAGTTAGCTTATTGGCTTAATGACATGTACTGAGACATCAGTACAATGAATCACCAAAGAAACAGAGAATAATTTACAACAGCAAAATATCAAAAAGTCTGACAGCTTTTGGTGCTGAAATAGCTGTAACATTGACGTCCCTGCCGAATATGACATCACATTTTTGTTCGTGAATATGAAAATTTGCATCACCATAGAAACCAGAAAGGCACCCAAATATCCTTGAAAATAATGAAATTTGAAAATAAGGTTACATTGGACACAAAAGGTGTAATAATAGAGCGCCAGGAGCGTCACTTTGTGACGGACATGAGCGCTATACAAGAAGCCAATATTATTATTATTATTATTTTCCAAGATTGTATTAGAAAATATAAATATTACATGGCCTCTAACTGATCAGTCTACTGCCATTGCAGAGTTATGGTCTCCTTGCACAAGCAGCCCCTAAATCAATTACAAAGAGAGAGTTATGAGGCACTTGAATGGACTGACACTGTTTCAAAATATGCATTAAAACATATTATATAACATGGTCCTATAATGGATCAGTCTGTCATTGCAGAGTTATGGTCTTCTTGCACAAGCAACCCCTAAATCAATTACAAAGAGAGAGTTTTTGGTGCCACTCGAATGGACTGCCGCTGTTTCAAAACACGAAGTGTGAGGGCACACTACCACGGAACAAACAGCAGTGGCTCCCAAGAAAGGCGATCCACTTTCGATCACTAGCATCTTGAACGAAGACAAGGACCTACCCTGCTCTTGTTGTGATCATTGACGGCAAGTCGTCCCAGTCCCTGAGCTAGCTCGGCACACGACAAGCCCTGGCTACGTCTGTCTGTACTCTGTTGGGCATCCTTGAGTAAACCGATGATGTACTCCACAGTAGCTGAAACGATAAAACTTTAATGTTAGAACAAAGAAACTGACTGGTGCGGGGTTTGAACCTGCGACCTCCGGATTGCTGTTACGGTGCTCTACAAATGAGCTATCCAGCCCTACATGTATGTTGGCGGTTCCCCATTTTGACAATAAAAGTTTTGTCAACGATGTAAAGCTTTTCTGTCATTGATTTTGATTAATTCATTCCAAATGCAGTGTTGATATGCAAGCTTGTTTAAAGCTATAGTCCATCATTTGTAATTTGTGCATTTTGTTCGTTTGAAGCAACAAAAGAGTTCAAAATCTAATAAAGGATACTAAGCAACTAACCTGATAAAGTTTCAGCTAAGCTTCAGCTGTACATTCCGAGAAAAACCAGCATTCTAAGATCTCAATTTCAAATCAAAAGTTACTGAATCATGTTTTGAATTGCAGCTATACGCGGCGTCGCGCACTGATCCGACGAATTATAACAACCGCGCGCGCATGTGCGTCGTTCCAATACTTGCGCGCGCTGCACTGAATAACAAAACGAACTACTAATTTAAATTTTCCTACGGTGCTTCTTAAGAATCACCGTTGGAAATGCCTTCTTTCGTTGATTACTTCAAAATGACAGCTTCCCAGAAAGAATAATTTCACAGGGAGTTTAGTTCCCTTACTATCTTTCAACTAAGTATGTTTTTCAACAATAATTACACCAGTTACTTTTTGGATGGCTGCAAATGATGGACTATAGCTTTAATGTAAAGATTTTTACATCTAAACTAGTTTCAAGGTTTCAAGTTGCTTTAACCCTAACCTCTAACCTTTCTAAATCCTCCAAAATCTTCCAGGCAGTTTTGGAGGATTTTGGAAGATTGAGGCTAAATGGTGAATAAAAGTGTCGGTTGATTTTGGAGGATGCATTGTGTTGAGTTCGTAGGCTGTACCCAGCATTGTTTATGTTCAGTCATGCATAATTGAGCCCTGCATTATGCTTAAAGTCATCTGCACTGCTTCTGAATGTCATCGGCACTGCCTCAACCCATTAACAGTGACTGTTGGAGGATTTTGAAGAACTGACACAATGGTCACCATTCCACTGAACAAATTCAAGAAATAACGGATGATTTTGGAGGATTGAGGCATGGGTCACCCCTCCACTGAACAAATTCAAGAAAAAACGCATCATTTTGGAGGATTGAGGCTGATTCCAATATTAACACAGTGACAACTGGAGGATTTTGCAGGATGGTTCCTAGCCAAAAGGGCCTAGGGGGTTATGGTTTATTGTATCATTATTTTAGGAATATGATTATGTCAGGTATATTACACTGTCTTGTGACATATACTCACATTTTTCAGTGGTCATATTTATGGTTTCTCCATTTTCTTTGATACCTGTAAAAAAAAACAGATAAAAGTAATGAATTTGAAAATAATTACTGAAAAAACAAAGAAAACATTTTTTAACACACTGTCACGTTTTCAGAATTGAACAGTATACTTATTGGTATGCCTTAAGAGTTCTTTAGAACTTATCAACACTTCAAAAAACAATTTTAAGATGTAAACGTGTTTCGGAAAGGCAGAAAAGAGTTGGCTGGTCTTGGATTGACCCTTCAACAGACAGATTCTGTCAAGAAACTGAGAGACAGATTGCCATCGGCAAGAAACTTATCCATCCTGAGCTGTTTCCCCAAGATGTCTCGTAAGGCGACCGACAGGCACCGTCAAGACGGCTTACTGCCATCAGAAGCCCCTGAATGACTTTTGACTTTACACACCCACTCAGTTCACAAGGGGTGGGGGAAAGGGGGTAGACAGGAGAGGGGAGAATTCACAATAACCCTTAAATTGCCCTAAATGTCTTGTAGGCAACCAACAAGCGATTTCAAAACGGCTTACTCCCATAATAAACTCACAATTGACTTTTGACTCTAAGCACCAACTCAGTGGGAAAGGGGGTGGGGATGGGGAAATGGGAGGGTGAAGGAAAGAGGGGTGGGGGTAGGGGATGGGGTAGGGGATGGGGTAGATGACGGAGTAAGCAAGGGAAGGTTCACAGTAATCCAAAACTCCAAAAAATGTTTCACAGGCAACCAACAAGCAAAGTCAAGATGGCTTAATACTGCCATCCATAGTTCCTGACCTCTGACTTCAAGCTGCAACTCAGTCCTCAGAGAATTGGGTCGAGGAGGGGGGGGGGGGGGAGTCACAATAAGCCTCAGGGCCCTACATGGGTTATCCGATAACACTCGGGGTGATTATCCTCTACACAGCGGGGTAAGTTAAAATGAGGCCAGCCCCATCCCGGGCATGATACAGAATTGAGAGAGGCACCCCTTAAGCTGAGGATGTTACCAATATAATCCCGTGTACTATTCTAAGGGTAAGGCTGGAACTTCAAATTCGGATTAATTAAAACTGTCGCCACCAAAAGTACACTGTGTGGAATAATATCAGAGCAAAAGGAGAAGAGAAAAAGGAGAAAACAACCTGCAAGTCTGAACGGTAAACTTTATGTCCTGATTTTGCAAGTAAAAGAAAATGTACAAGAATGAATCAAAAGTGTTGGAACAGAAAGGTTAATAGCAACACTGAGTATTGGCAAAAGATTATTTTGCCTTAAGGGTAAACTATGCAGTCACTTGGGGAAAGACAAATGAATCGTTAAGATACGACAGTCGATTATTTGCAACTGAGTCGGCAGTGAGGCCTTGACTCAAAAACTGCAATCGTGATTCACCGCGAAACATGCGATTCCGACTGAAAAAATCAACTTGATTGCAGTTGGAACGTATAATGTGCGGTGGCCTTTTAATACCAAGGATAATTAATGAGATGAACCAAACTTTAAAAAAAAAACGAGTTAAACTCACTGGTGTCTCCAGAATCGACTCTGTCCTCCTCCTCATCCAGGATGTAGGCCAGCGTCATCATGGTGATGGCCTTGAGGTAGGCATCGTTGTCGTTATCGTCACACCCCTGGGCGTAGGGCTGGATCTTAGCTTCCACTGCCTCCTGACGATAGAAGTGACGATTGCTAGGGGCCTTGGACAGGTTGTGGAGGATGCTGAGGGAGGCTTTGATGAGGAAGGCAACATTCTGGGCACAGGAGAGACGGACAACAGACATCAATGGAAGATAGCAGCCATCTTGGTCTAGTACCCTGAATACAGGATGCATCCTCAATACAATGGTACTTACAAAATCGCGGGCAGCAGCCTACATGTACTCTCTGTTGTTCTTAATTAAGCCATGTCTAAGTTACTTGTGCCTGCTAATGTGAAAGGAATTATGTTTTTGTCAATTTCTTCTCAGAAATGGTTTTCAGCAGTTAGTATTCATATGAATCGGGATACATGCAATTTCCTGATTTCCTGGATATTATTCAAAAATATAAAAACCACCCTTGTATTTGAAAAGAATTATCAAATATCTAACATACATGTATGTAATCCGTTAACTTAAAAAGCCTAGGTGGTACTCATGCAGCTGCAGTATATATATGCTTTCTTCATATCTATTTGCTATCTATCTAAAATTTCATTTGCTATTGTTTGTTTGTTTGTTTGTTTTTTTATAGGAAAAATGATTTAAAAAAAAAAGTAAAAAAACCTTTAAAAATATAAAAACAGCTTATTATTTTAAGTGGAATTATCTTCGTCTAAGATTAAAACCCAGGCCAAGAGGCTGAGCATTGGTGCCAGAGTCTGCGGGAAACGTTGATTACAATTAAAATCCCGAGTTGCACCATAACTCTTTGATCCAAGCCACCGGTTAAATTTTCCTTCAAGTCATTCACAAACAGATGGTAAAAAAAACACCACTCAGGCTTAAAAGTCTGGACAGGATATTCACTGTTTCTTTAAAATCGGATCACACCGTTATCAGTGGAAGTTTTAAATATCCGACTGATCGGCCTTCAGCGTGTTGGAAACGATAACACGACCCAGAGATGATACTCTGGACAAGGAAACCCAAACCCCAGGGGCACGGTAAACGGACGCTATCCTTTCATAAGGCCAAAAAAAAAAGTCTCCGGTTTCTGGTATGCGCGCGCGTCGCCGTAGCCATGCGCGTCGGCAAAATGAAAAAGTTTTTTTTTCAATACAAGATGATGTCTCAAAACTGCCAAACTCACTGGTTTGACTGGAATTCTGCTGCTGCCCAATTTTAACGTGTTTTTAGATGGGGTTATGATTGAGAATAAGCTTTATGTGGCCTCTCTGGACTCCCATATATTTGCACTAAGTTTAGTCGGGCACCATTTGCAGTCATCAGCCGACATTTGAAGCCAAAAAAAAAAAAAAAACAGGTAAAAAAAAAAAAAAAAGCCGCGTCGCCGCACCACTTTTGGGGCAAGCTCCATACCAGAAACCGGAGACTTTTTTTTTTTGGCCTAACCTTGTTCATGTGATATCAGTAATGAGACAGAGCGGGCGGAGAGTCATTTAGCATTAGGCAGGGATTAACAGGGTTTACGGCGTAATGACTTCCGAGTGCTTCCATCCGAGAAGACACCGAGGCAGAGAAAAGCTTTCGAGGGGTTGTGAAATGCTGTAACACCCGTTTCAGACTGGCGTTGCACAGTCTCGCCAGAATAAATTGTTCTGAACATTGGAATTAAGTTTGACGTTTGCCGAAAGAGTTAGGAGTGACTACTTTGGAAGATTGAATGTTGTAGTCATTCGGAAAGACTCCTCAATGGATATTAATACATTAATTTTTCCGGTCTACATGTATAACCCAAAGTCTATTTGGGTTGACCTAACTTGCTCCCAATTCCATTTGGTTTGGCATGACTTTTGAATACTAGTCTGAAGCAGACTTTTGGGGTTCTGAAAACTTGATTATGTAGTAGTTTTGTTCAAAATGTTGTCAGAGCTTCATGAGAACTTACAATTGTCATTAGTAATGACGAGGTCTTTGCCTTGCTCACTATGTGGGAGAAGATGGCTTCAGCCGACCATCACTGGAAACTGATAAAAACTTCCACTTTTTTTGAAATTAAAATGACAGCACACCAAGTGCAATGATTTCACAGGATGCTTGAGACTATTATTCACTTACAGTCAAGTTAGGTATTTCATAATAATTTGGTAAATCTTTTCTGCGCTTAGCGCTACTCTGTGCTTGAGAGCTGCATAAATTGGATCCAGTTGCACTGGATAATACAGGCTGGCAATGTAGTAAACGACCAGTGCTGTGCATCTGAACCAGGTATCCCAATATCCGAGTACCAAACCGTTGATGTCAGGAACCAGCTCTAGATTATGGAATCGAGTGACCGTAAAGAACTTTACAAATTACTAAAGTAACTTCTCAGACACCAAAAAGAATGGTTTGGAAAGTCATTTGTGGGGAATTTTCAAAATGAAAACCAGGCTACGTGGGAAAAACAAAACATATTTTGCATTTATGACGCTCGCAAAAGTTGCACTTCACACCTGAAAGCTATACAATATGTAAAACTCGCTGTACATACTTGTACATGTACGTGTCTTGCTGTATTGACGCACTGATTTGGAAGTGATGTATTATCGTGCGGACCTTTTTTTTAAAAATCTGAACAGCAACTTCTGAGATTTGAATTTTTGGGTTGGGTTTCTTGGATCTGTATCTTGGAACCCGTGGTTTTTTTTATCGGTAACCATTTCCAGTACTACCCGTAAATGCACACCAAAAACCAACCATTATACATTGTACGTGAACTTTCAACGGTGAACTTCTAAATTAGCCAGAGTCAAAGCATGGTAAATTTCCAGGTGGATAATGACCATGGGTGATATCGTTGCACTTTGTGGGTCTGGAGAGAACTGGTCACCGGAAATCAACTCAACCTTGGAATAATGATCTGCATTATGGAGCTTGTCATTTACTATCACAGACTCATCAATCTCAATGGGAATTAATGAAATGTCTATGGTTTCATATTCCTTATGGGTTTGGCTCTTAATGGTCATTGCATGTATTATTGATACTAATGGGTGATTAAGGAAAAATAATTACAAATCTACATGTACTTGGCATTACTGAGTATTTTTGCATGCTGTCAAATTGTGCATGGCCAGAGGAACAAAAAAGCAGGACAGGTCTACACAAAATTTAAAAAGAAAAGAACTTTTCTCAACAACTCTCTGGAACTACCTGCCTGCTTCCTAGAAGAACAAAAATATTGTGATTTCCCAGAATGACGTAGTCTTGTTGTTGTTGTTGTTGGTTTTTTTTTGGGGGGGGGGGGGAGAGTATGCAACGTGGATATCACAATTTTCAATAATTGATATATCAGAAATCCAATATCAAGAATATTCAATAGATCAATTATCCCATGTAAAAGTTAAAGGCCATAAAGATGACACTTTGATTTAAAAAAAAAAAAAAATTAAAAAGGTTAAGTCCCAATTTTCCACAGCTTCCTCTGGAGCATATATTGCTGAAACTTTGTCCAGAATGGGCGTTTTTTTTAATAGTTTTTTTTATAGGGGGAGACTGCGAATTCCAGCGAATGCTCTAGCACAAAGCGACGCCGCTTGGCATTGCGTGATTTTTTAAATTTGAGTCACAAGCACAAGTTGCCGCCAAGTTTTATTTCATTATACAGCAAACGATAAACACAAAGTATAAGCACAAACGGGAGATTTATTTTGATGATAATCTGACGCATTTTGGATATCATTCCTCAATATCGAAAATTTCGATATTTTTATAGGATAAAAAAATTGCTATCGTCAATATTGATATCAAAATAATATCAAATAATCAAGTAATATCGATATATCGATGGTGCTTAGGGGGGGAGCAGTGTTTATTATGTTTTGTTGTTTTTTTTTTTTTTTTTTACAAATGTACAGTATGGACATCGTAAATTGTAAGAGAAGCAACAATGACAAAACCATACCTTCTGTTTCATATTTTCTCTGTACGGCCCGTGCGCTATATTGGCTGCACACAGTTTCACCATACCAGCTTCACCAAGACACTGGGCGCACAGCAGACTGGCGTCGCTCAGGTTCCAGACTGTATTGTACACGTAGTAGGCGGTGAACCAGACACTGTCATTCTTAAAGAGGCCTTCCTTGGATAACACCGTGAGCATGCTGACAACGAGTTCTGAAAACAAGTCATAAATAGTCAAAATTCTATTTTTTGTATTACATGTAATTTAACTTAACTTTAATTTATTTAGTTCATGGAAGGGCACTGATTTGGGAAAGAACAGTTCAAGTTGTGTCCTCTGAACATATATTTTTAACCCTAACCGCCCTGAATCCTTCAAAATCCTCTTTGCCAAAGTGGAGGAATTTGGAGGATTGAGGTTACATGGTAAAAGTGCGTTACTGATTTCTTAGGATGCACTTTGTCAAGGTCTTGGGCCTGACCTTGTGTTGTTTTGGCTCAGCCATGCATAAATATAGGCCTGGATTATGCTTGAAATCCTCCGTACTGCTCCAGGATGTCACTGGCCAAGCCTCAATATATTGACAGTCACTGCCGCAGGATTTTGCTGGATTCAGGCAGTGGTCACCCCTCCTCGGACCATATTCGAGAAATAATGGAGGAATTTGCAGGATTAAGGGTTCTGGTACATGTATATGTGATTTTTCAATGAGGCCAATTGGAGAATTTTGCAGGATTGAGGCTAAATCCTAGCAAAAAGGCCTGGGGAGTTTTTATTTAGTTCATGGAAGGGCACTCATATGGGAAAGAACATTTCAATTTGTGTCCTCTGAACATTCACTTTTTTCAATTCATCACTTTTTAAAAAAAATTTATTCAGGGCCTACATCAATTTTTTTTTAACATAGATTTCAAGAAATGATGAAAATGTAAATTATGGACTTCATGTGTAGAAACATTGTATAATTTCAAGGCAAGTGAACAAGCTGTAAAATTTTAAAGATGAAATTTTTTAAAGGTACAGGTAGTCACAACTTCTTTGATTACTTCATATAGCAGAGCCAGAATTTGAGTTTTATAATTTCACCTAATGACTACTCAGTTGTATTTCATAAAATACATGAATGACAAACTAAAGTTGAAGCACACTAAATTTGCAGCAGCCACAATACATGTATATTATAAGTGGGAATGTGTGGCCTAGTGGCTGGGGTTCGTGACTCATGATCAGAGGGTCAGGGGTTCGAATCTAGCCGCTGGCCATATATTGTGTCCTTGGGCAAGCCACTTCACCCCCACTTGCCTCTCTCCACCCAGGAGTATAAATGGGTACCGGCATTAGCTGGGGAGTAACCTGCGATGGACTAGCATCCCATCCAGGGGGAGTAGAAATATTCTCAGTCGTTTCATGCTACTGAAACTGGAGATAAACGCCGGCCTAATCGGCCACATTGGCTCGTGACAGACTTTACTTTACTACTTTACAATACATGTATTTCATTTATGAAGAAGATTAGTTTAGCTTGTACAGATAATCTAAGCAGATCCTTTTTGATCCTCAGGAAACTCACCATGCATTTCACATGCATCTACAGGATTTGTTCACGTTTAAAAACAGGCACAAAGCAGCACAAAGGGCACATGCATGCATCATCACAGGAAGAACAATGTCAAAACACAAGGCATAGGAACACTCCAACTGAAAAGTGAACAATAAAGAAACCATCATGCAGTTTAAAACTCGTACAGTGGAAAGATTCTTGCAAGAAAGGGACAGCTCATGCTACACTTCAACTGCAAATTGCAAAACATAATTGTACACTAGGGCTGTGCGGAATATATAAAGGAGATGTTGAAGAACATCAACGATGTTACTGTAAGCATGTATACACATAAATTACTGGTGTTCTCATTTGTCCAATGCCATACTTTTGTCAAAAGCCTGTTTAGTCATGCATGATTTCAAGGAATGTTAGGCCCAAAAAAAAAAATCTGCTTCCGAAGACGCACCATTGGAAAGGCCTTCTTTCGCTGATTTCTTCAAAGTGACAGCATGCCAGAAAGAATAATTTCACAGGGAGTTTAGTTCCCTCACTATCTTTATATTTTTCAACATAATTATGTCAGTTACTTTTTGGATAGCTGCAAATGATGGACTGTAGCTTTAATGCACAAAGATTTTTTGTTAAAAAATCCTGCAACTCATATGCTTCACAACAATTTTGCTCTTTTGCAGATACTCTTGTCAAGAACTTATCTCAGATACTCAACGAGATAATACCTTTAAGTGCACTGTACCTGGCATCCAGCTATTTGCCACACACTACGAAAAACAAAATATTACACTCATGCAGAACAAACTAAGAAATTGTCAAAATAAATTGAATCACCCATCACATACCTGCGCCTTTCTCCTTAGCAAAGACATTGGCAATCTCCTCCCTCTGCTCCTTGGCGTTCCAGAAGCAATCAGCGATGCGCTTGATCTTAGCCTTGGCTTCCAAGTTGGCATAGTCCTTCATGATGCGCAGCTGCAACAGAGATTCCTTGACTTCCTCCAGGGGGGAATGGTCCTTATTGTCCGGTTTCTCCGGCTCTGAAGACATACGGCGCACGGGATGCTTCTCTGGAGGTTGTTTCTCTGGACGCTGTTGATTGTCTTGTTTCTCTTGCTGCTGCTGTTGCTGTTGTTGCTGCTGCTGCTGATGTTGCTGTTCTTGTTGATGTTCTTGTTGATTCTCGTCCATCTTGGATCTGTTGTTGCACAAGGAGTTGAGCTTGGAACCCATGCACATCTCAAACAGTGATCCCAGTCACAGCTTTTTACTCAAATGTTCGTCCCAGGACGGGCTTGGGTTGAGGATCTGCAGAACAAGAGTGTGCGAGGATTTTTTTTCTCAAAAGGCTGCAATAAATTATGAAAAGGAACTGGGGAACACAATGATGCAAGCTGCAGACTTCTTGAGGAAACTTGAACATCCTGCAAAACGAAAATTGCACATCTCAATATTTCAGTTTTGGATATGGACTCCATGCTTACTCTGTGTTCTGTGACAGCTCTTGGGAGAGCTTCCGCTTGCTCCTTGGAGAAACGGAATGGCAAAGATGTTTGAAAAAGTGAATGAATGATGGAAGTTCGCATCAGGGCAACATCAAGTTTAATATTGGGTTCTGCCCTTTACTGGCATAATAGTCCAATGATTAAAACATCTGCATTTGTGAGATGGAGGTTGTGGGTCCGAATCCCATCTGAGCAAGATTGTAATTTTTTTCTATCATGATCTCTGACAGTGCTTAGCATAGAGTGCTTTATAAATATTACGTCGGTGAAGGGAAAAACCCTGTTTCAAACTGGACAATGATTTGGGAAGTCAGACAACAGTTAGTCATGCTTTGCACCTGAAAGGATGAAAAAGACAACAAAAATGATCAGGATAAATGACTAAAACACAGGTACAAATGAATGCAGACCAAGGTGGACCAAAAGCCAGCAAAACCAATGCATATTTTATGACTCTGGAAGGCCTGTCTCGGACAGGAGACACAAATGACATTTTAATCCCCACACAACCGCATTTACAGTTTGTAAGCATCTCCTTGGAGGATTTCTAGCCGGTAAGCTCAGAGCAAACACTCTCTGTAATTGGACGGGTAACAGCGATGACGTTATGTCATTTGTTCAGTCATGGTTGATTGCACTCACCATTGAATCATCTCAGTTTATTACTTTAATTTGACGAGATACGTGTACATGCATATTTGCGCATAAATTTTCATACATGTACATAAGTGTATCTGTCTTAAAATAAGTTAATCCAAATTTAATTTATGACTTGCTTTCCTTGCACGTTAATTTTACAACTTATAATGTATACATCCAATAATGTCAGCATGAATAAATAATCTCTTAGTCTCCGGGTAGCCAAGTAGAAGGCAGGGCAAGACTATAAACTCTTGACATTATAGAGCAAGTTGTTTTAACATTGGAAGCAGAAGGTGTTTAAATAAAGGTTTCTGATGATATTAACCTCATGCTATTTAAACAGTCACAGACAGTCAAAATTCACTTCCGCTTCCCCTGCTGTACTTTTAACAAAGGCTCGTTACCAGCAGTCAGATCATAATGTCAAGCAAGCACTGTGACTAGTCAAACTGGGTCAACAGACAAAGCAGGCAAGTTGGGGTCACAGCTGTTTCATCACTCATCCGGAGTTAAAGCATTAGCTGTATCAAGTTACTTAAATAGTCCCAGCCAGTTAATCCTGCTTTATGTAGGCTGCTGAGAACAGTCACTCGTTTGATTTTGACTAAAAGGACAACTTGGCCCAGAATGTATGTTTGTGTAGGATGGTTTTAAACAAAACTTTCAACAAATACTATTATAGCCTGCCCGCGAGCACACTTTTTAAAATCACCTTCTTTGACAACAATTGATTTCTTCCCAAGGAAACCATTTTAGAAGGACAGTATCACAGAGTATTGGATACCACTCCTTTCTTCACCTTGAGCAAGATTTTGCCTTATTAAAGGGAATGTACATCATTTGCTTTTGCTGTAATTTTTTAGAAATGAACTATTGGAGGGGTAAGTACCGGTATAATAGATAAAAAATATTGTTACACTGACATGTTTGAAGCTTTGTGTTTGGGAATGCCGGAAAAATCTGGTTCCCTGACTCCACTAAAGATGAAATGGATCAATTTATAGATGCCGGAAAATTGTAAGGTAAGGGAACAAGTCTAGCTGGCCTGCACCCGTTCATGAACATGTAACCAATAGCAAACAAAATTTGGACTGAAAAAATGGTAAATTTGGAGCAGTAGTTGAAAAATAGTTAGGTTTTTCCAACGGTGGTCGGCCGACCACCGCTGGAAAGATATACAAAAAGACCATTTTCTTGAAAACGACTTCACACCAGGTGCCATAATTTTACAGGATGCTTTAGACTGTCATTTACCAACATCCAAGTAAGATATTTCATAAAAACTTGATAGTTTTATTTTTCGATGTTTGCAAATGTTGTATATTCCCTTTAAATTGGTAGGTTCATTTCTGGGACATTACCATTGTTCCTATCTGTCATTAACCCTAACTCCCTAGCATGATTTACTAGAACCATAACAATCCTGACAGATTCCAACAAAACATGCTGTTGGGGTTTGATGGGTTGAGTCCTGCAGGTCATGACAACACACTAACTGCATTCATACACGTACATGTTACACAACTGGACTTGATATAAATGTACGCAGTATTCCACACATCAACAGTTCATTCACTTCATCAACATCAGGTGACATTTGTCCGTGTATTAAAATATTCATTCACTCCACTTCCGTCGTGCATCATTTGACTCTAATACTATTACAAACAAAGACCCAATCAATGGATGTTGCATAAGATGTATAAATTTACTGATGTGATGGAGTCTTGTACATTTATTGATTTCAATGGATGCTACGAGGAAAAGGTCTCAATTTCTAGGGGAATAATTAAAATGTTTCACAGTTAATTATGCATCAACAAAAATAACAGTTACACAATAACGTGCTTTTCGACACGTGTACGTAAGTTGGTCAATTAGTGTACATGTACACATACATGAACAAGAATGTTGATGTTAATGTGCAATGCGGTGTTATGAAAAAAAAATCATTCTTGATAAACATCTATATTTTACAAAAATTGTTTTCAAATAATTAATTTACTAAATGGTTATTCAAATGCAACATTCACTCAGTTCAAAGTATCAGGTGATCCAAATATCAGCCAGACTACTTGAATGTTTCGTAAAAAAGTTAAGTAAACATGGTAAATCAACTCTTCAAAATAAAATTATAAATACTCTGCATCACCAAACTCACATTTGGAAGAATCTGTGGCTAACTTCCGTGCACAGGTTTACAAACGACAGCCTCCACTGTTGTCTTTACATGCCAGAGCCAACCCAACACTGCCTGACCAGCTGAAGCTATTAATCCACAATGAACGGAGGGACCGGGCTTGGCAACAATTAATGTAGGCTGGGGAGGCTAAATGAATTCCCCAGGGGAGGCTAAAGACGCAGGCAGTATGGGGGAATCATTTTCTACGTCCGTCTTGGACAGCTATCAGGAAAACGCCAATCAGTAACGCTGGCTGGCAGCCACGGAAGGAAGTCAAAAACTTTGCCCGAGTTCAAACCGCCAGCTTACCTTTTTAAAACGTGGAGCGTACGCCTGTGTTCCGGTGCTAAGTGCTAAGTGACGCGATAAGCATGGGTGCTTACAACTCGATCAAGTTTGAGAGAAATTTTATCAGGTTACTGTCTTGTACAAATTGAAGGAAGTCTTATTAGTGATGGATTAAGTGGGATTGATCTGGCTTTCCTGGAGATTAAGCCGTGTGCCCTGTTAATCCTAACTAAGCTGTGGCTCCCAGAGACGCTTTTTATCGCTGCCAGACTGTCACACATCTTGCACTCGTAGGAAAGTGGGCTGAATCCTGGATTATTTAGGACATCAATCAAGTCACAAGTTCGCATTCTACATCTGGAATGCTTCATGGCATTGATTGTTCAACGTCCACTAAAACTTTCTCCATAGTTTTGCTGTTGAAGTATCATAAAGAGGTAGAAAGTCTGCTACATTTAGAATTGACCAGTGCTTGTAATACCTGGCAATCTTCTGGGCATATTTCTCGTCAAAATTTGCTGAAAAATTCTACGCAGACGTACAGTGTTTTTAAATACAAATTTCCAAAATATATCTGTTTGTGATTAGTCTACACATTATTCGTGGTCACAGTCATCATCACCGACACTACGAACTTACACTAGCGCGCTAGTGGATACAGTTCGTGAAAATCAACAGTTTTTGTTTTCACGAACTGACATGCAAGCATGTTGCGGCAATACAATTTGGAGAAAAACGTTTTGAAAGGTTTGACACGAATTTCATTCATCCGTATAATTGTGGGCTAACACAAAAAATTTGAATAAAACCTTTTTTAACTGGTGAAATTAGGATCAGTGTCAGTTTGTGTAAAAGAAATTGTACGGAATGAGGAAGGTAAAGAGCCCAACTATGACTGCTTTATAATGTACTAGATCTCTCTTGAACATTTCAAAGGTTGCGGAAATACAAACAAATCTACAATTTTTTTCTGAAACAAACAGGTAAGCTTGTCTGCCCTGATCTCCAAAGCCCAAACTCTCTGTGCTTGTATCTTTTGGAGCGGTAAGCTACAAGTACATGTGTTTTTACCCATGAAGTCACAGTCAGAGAAGGGGTGTATTTTGTGGGTGAGGCAAAAACAAATGTCTTTGTCCAAAATCTCAATATATACTGAGATTCCAAAAATGTATCAAAAACAAATATTTTCTCGTGCATTCATGGTTTCAGAACAGTTTGTAGATTTTATTTTCCCATTTATATTTCTGTCAATCATTGATACAACCTTACCTGCCAATTTCCTATAAACTGTTTGATTTTGAATTCAGAAAGGTTAGACCTTTTCACACTAGAGCCTCTCAACCCGGGTTGAACTCAACCCTGGGCAAACCTGGGGCTGCCCCGGGTTGCGTTTGTGATTTTTCTACCCTGAGTTCAACCCCCACGTCCTTTTTGTTTCGCGTAAACCGAGCTTCTTTCGCTCGGTTACTACCGCTTTGAACCCAGGACGAGACTTTCAACCCGGGTAGAAAATCTCAACCTTGGTCTGGAGCACGGTTGAGTTCAACCCAGGGCAAAAATCAACCGGAGGGTTGACGCAGGGTTGACAATTTTCAAGTGCGAATCGCCACGTTTTCAACCCT